CCTCCTCCTCCTCCTCCATCATCATCATCATCATCATCATCATCATCCTCACCTTCCAAAGTACGTAACACATCCAGTCTCCTTGCCTTTGGGAATCTATGTGTAACAGCCTCAAATCTATGGAAGTGAGTGGTCTACAATTTATATCTGAATGTCCTTTAAGTATGATATGGTTTTAATATCATTTTTCTAAGTATGTTCAGTTTTCTTTGTCCAAGGTCTGCATTATCATTATGGGTAAGTGGCCTCCCAAACTATAGGATGAAATGTATGTGCCACATGGCATTTTTTGCTGCATTCTAGAAACAGCGGCATTAGTCTTAGATATAATGCAACACTACATCTGAACACTATCACTTGTAACAATGTTGGGTGGTGGTGGTGGTGGGAGAAATAAGTTTTTATTTACTATTTTATTTATCTACTTGTTTTTATAATGTGGTTGAAAATTAGCACACTTTTACTGGAATTCCCCCCCCCCCACTTACATAATACTGTTATTCTTTGCTGTTTCTGAGTGTGAGAACTGCGGTTGGAAGAAATATCCTTCTGGGCTCAGTTCCAAGTGCGGAAAAAGACACTGGAAACATGGAGGCTGTTTGGAAGGTTTAATGGTGGATAGAACACATGGCCTGGAGCTCCAGAGTGAAAAGGAAGGATGATCACATGCTTCAAGGTGAAGGAAGAGATTAAAAAAAAGGCTGAGGTGCTGAGAATGCCTGGGTTTTATAACCTTTGTTGGGATTTCAATTGGAGCTTGTATTCTGATTGGTTGTCAGGCTCCCAGAGGCAACTCTGTAGGCTGTCCTGAGTTCCAGGTTTGGTTGAACCTTGCTGGATGATGATGATGCACTAAAAAGGGCTTTTGGCAATTGCTATAGCTTTACCTGGAGATCTTTGTTATGTAAAGTATTCTGGCCCAGGCCTTAATGGCCCACCCATTAACAAAGGTGGGGCTGAGCTTCTGCTTCTGAGGTGAGTTTCTGCTCTTGAGTTTCTCCTCTTTTTAGGAGAAATATTCTGCCTTTTTAATATTTCCTAGGATATTTCAATTTTCCAGGAGACAGGTGGTGCTAACTTCCTACACTGCATCATACATCCCTGTTGCATGCATAACCTAAATTAGCTCCTTGTACAAAGCAGAATTTATGGCCATCCATCAGTCTCTTTCTGCCCTCGGATTCTTCTTGAAGTCTTCTACTTACCAGGTCGATAAAATTAGATCTCCAAAGTACAGGAATACATTTGAACTGCTTGAACATGCCTTTCAAGTTGACAATAACAATGGCAGCTAGGACGGCCTAAAAGAAAATGGCAAAGATACTCTTTTATAATATCTAGAGTAGGAAGTTTCAATTCAAGTAATGGGTAAGAATGGAAGAGTCTTCCAATAAAAATAAACCTTTTCTGGAGCAATACAAACCTCATAAAGTCATATTGATATTATCACTGTATTTGTAGAATATTTCCTTCAATATTCACTGTATCTCAATGATATTTACTTATTTTTTTAAAAAGAACAGTCTAATTTTTGAACATACTTTGGGTAGTTCGTGGAAAAGCTCTCCAATCTTCAAAATGGTTGCCAGGATGATGAGAGAGGAGATGACTGTAGCCACCTGCAAAATAGAAAACAGGAAACGACTGACTGCAAAGCAGGCTGCACAATGCAAGAAAATAACCCCAAATTTCACTTTCCTCCAGTTTCAGCTTGTTATCAGGTTTTGAAGACAGCAGATGGTAGCACTTGGCTGACTTTAGGCCCCCAAAACTAAGCAGGGTCAGGCCTGGTTATTTACATGGATGGGAGACGACAGAAAGTTTTAGAACTATGAAAAGAGAAAAAAGAACCTGGGTAATGACCGATTGGTCAGTATGATACTGATATTGAGCAAAACTCTGGAACAGATTATTAGACAGTTTGTGAGGATTCAGAAGACAACGTCTTGCTTGGCAGTGCCTGTTTATCAGGAACAAGTCATGCCCATCCAATGTGATTTCCCTTTTTCACAGAGACCAATTTAGGAGATTGACGTGGAACAATGTATTTTGATGTCAGCAAAGTGCCTGACTTCCATGAGCAGGGGTGTCAAACTCAATTTCATTGTGGGCCGCATCAGGGTTGTGTTTGACCTTGAGGGGTGGGCGTGGTGGGCATGGCCAGCTCGATATCACTCGCTCTGTTTTCGACTGTGATGGCCTCCTGCAGCCTTCTGCCAGCGAAAATGGAGCCTGTGGTGGTGGTGGTGGTGCACAGCGCACAGCCCTCCCTCTGTTTTTGCTAGCAGAGGCATTGTGGGCTGGTCCATTGCTGATTGTAGGGTGGCCTCACAGGCTAGATCTAAGCACGCCGGGGGCCGTATCTGGCCTGTGGGCCTTGGGTTTTGACACCCCCACCCATGAGATTCTAGTAAAGCAGGCTGTAATACTAATATTAGAGGAATATAGAGGTGACTGAAAAAAGGTAGCTAATAAGAATATGTCAATGATTTTTTAAATCAAACTAGATACATGAAAGTTTCAAGTAATGTACTACAGGCTTCATTTTAGGCCTAGTGCTGACCCGTATATATAAAAATGAGTTGTACGAAGAGATTAAAAAAAGATTGTAAAATTTGTAGAAGACCCAAAAATGGAGAGAATAAAAAAAAAAAAACTCCTTAGGAGATTATGTGGGCGATCCTTAACAAGCTGGTCAGAAAGATGATTATCAGCACAGCCAATAACGAAGTGTTACATTCTGGTAGAAAATGTCTTGGGGATAAATATAGGATAGGGGCCCCACACTTGGCAATGCTACACAAGAGATTATCTGAATGCATCACAATCTGAATATAAACAAAAAGTGTGATGTAGCTGCACACAGACAGACAGACAAACAGACAGACAGACACACACACACACACACACACACACACATACACACCAATATTAGGCTGCATCACTGAATTGTGAAAATGTGGAGAAATCAATAATCTCTACTCCGTTTTGGGTAGAATATAAACTAGAATATTTTGGATGGGATATTGGCATCTCCATTGAGAATGTTGCATCCCGTTCTGGGTATTACATTTTAGGAGTTATATTGAAACTGAAGTGAGTCTAAAGGAGAGCAACCGTGATGGTCAAGGTTTCGGAAGGAACAATTTATGAGGAATGGTTGGAGGCAATGGATGTGTTGAATCTGGAGAAGAGAAGACAGCAAGAGGAGTTCAAGTATCAGAAGAGTTGTCATGTAGAATACAGGGCAGAATTGTTCAGAGATGTTTCTTAAGAGAAGAGAAAAAAGAATAAGTTTAAAATGTGATTTAGTTCAACATCAGGGAAAACTCCTAACACTAAGAGCCAACAGTGGAAGAGACTGACTTGAGAGCAGGGGTGGTATTCAGTAGGTTCTGACCAGTTCTGGAGAACCGGTAGCGGAAATGTTGAGTAGTTCGGAGAACCAGCAAATCCCACCTCTGACTGGAGATTTTACAGTATCCTTCCCCTGCCATGCCCATCAAGCCACGCACACAGAACCAGTAGTAAAATAATTTGAATCCCACCACTGCTTGAGAGGCAGTAGACTGTCTTTTGCTAGGGATTTTAAAAGTGATGAGATGGCCAGCTTAGGGGGATGCTGCAATAATTGATTCCTGCACTGGGCAGGAGGTTGGACAAAATGATCTCCAAAAGTACTTTCTAAATATCACAATTTATGATACTATAACTGGAAAGTAAAAAAGGAAGTAAATGGCAAACTTCTTCCATATCATTATCGGAAAACTGCATATACTTAGTCAATGGATGTCTGCCTCAGTTTGAGACATATTTACTTTTATTATTTACTTGGCCTTGAGCTCTATTTCCTGTCTCTCCAATTGTCTGAGCAGTCTGGAGATAGAGGGAGTCATAGTGCAAAAAAGATCTGGAAACATTAGTGTAGAAAACTGCTCACTTTTAAGGGCATGGTGGATATTGGTTGTTTTTTTTTTCAAAAAACAGGAAGCCAAACAGCCTTCAATCATTTATTTGTCTCATGCATTCAGAGAGAATAGTGATGAAATAAAGGCTCGAACCATATTAATTCCAGCAGCATATTCAAGGCAACTTAATATTTGTGAGCAGATTCACGGCTCACTCAGCAAAATACTAAAAAAATACTCTAAATGTATTTTTTTATTATATTCCATAATATAAATAAAATTATCTTCTAGGGATAAACAAGCCCAACCTCAGTCCACTGCAAGACTCATTGAGGTAATTTCTAAAGCTAACTGTACCACTGCATTCCTCCGAGTGATCTCATCTATCCCAGCATGCCTTTCAATTAGTTCTCACTGAGCTGTTCTTCGATCCACCCATTTGATTGATTCCACCTTCTGCACAATTCCTTCCTCCTATCAGAAAACGGCTACAGGCTTATCTGGGCTTTACCTGGCTGTGTCCTCCTGTGCTTTCTTGCACTAGGGAGCGGGACATGGAGCAGCTGATGCTGTAGCAATGGAAAAAGCTACCAGTGATGTTACTGAGCCCCAAGGCTATCAGTTCCTGCAAGAGAGTTGAGAAGAGCTCAATGTACGTTTCTTTATTTGGAGAGGGGGGAAAAAACCGTTTGGAAGAGGCTGTATGCCCATCCCTTGACTTAGAAGTACAGTGCAGGTAGTTCTCGACTTAGGACTATAATGGAGCCTGCCCAATATAGCCATAAGCCATAACAGTTATGTCAAAGTATATTCATGAACTGGAATGGTAACAAGGTCAGCCAATGAATAGGCATAGCAACGAAGTCAGCCAATGAGGACTGTTTGGAAACTGAAACTAGAAGTAGCCTAGGTGTGGCTCTATATTAAACTCTGCAGCTCTGAAGCTATGTTAAGCTCTGAGTCTGTCTATTGAAAATGAAACTGCTTCTCTCCTCTGCTGTGTGTCTTGCTTGTCTGCTGAACTAAAGTGAAACTGATGTCTGTTTCTGAGCTCCTGAGTTGCTGTTCTGCTCTGAACCTGTAACATGTCTGCTTCTGTTTGAGTTTGCTCCATGCTGGAGAAATCTACAAGTGGTATTGAAAAATTTACTTTATAAATGAAGCCTCAGTCATCTGTGTGTACTTTTCTGTTGCGGAATTTACACTGCAATACTCTGAACAAGATATAACATAGGTCACTCATGTGACTAACTTGATTTTGCAACCTTTTTTGTGGCTGTGGTTAACTGAACTGTGATCACAAAGCAGTTCACTGCATGTATTAAATGAGCACAGCAATTGTTAAGTGAATTGATGGTTTGTTACGGAGCGGTTTGGCTGAAAACTGGAAGTAAATGGCAGGTTTTGGCAAAGCCATCATAAAAGGTGGTCATGCAGGATGCATTAAATGCAGCCCGTTGCTAAGCACCTGACCTGCAGTCATGGTATTGCAGGGGAGTGGGGGGAGCAGACATTGGAATTTCAGAGCTAGGTCATTAGTATTCCTGGGAGGGTCCTTCATAACTTTGAACCGTTGCTAAGCAATGGTTGTAAGTTGAGAACTACCTGCAACAGGAGTAGATCATAGACAGTGGACAAGGCAATCAAGAGAGAAAATGAAATCAAGGCAAACAGAGAAGAGGAAAAGAACCTCAGGAAGCCAAGATAAGGAAAGCCATAACAAACGTCTTACCTGGTTGCTGTCCACACTATAACCGTGCTTGAGTGCGAAGATTTTCCCAAGGGAGATGCAAAGGACATAGCTAACAATAGCAATGGCAAAAGCGTTCCCTATCGTCTGTCCAAAATAGCTTCCATTGGGGGCTTCAGGAGATCTCAATCTACAATAAGGAAACATAGATGGCCCAAGGCAATACTGCTGTACAGGTAACGCAAGGCAAAACAAGAGAGGAACGGGCAATTTCCCAGGGCCGGGCTGGGAAGAGGAGTGATAAGATAAGATAATCTTTATTATTGTTGTTTTTTTACTGTGAGCATACTGGCCCTCATTAGAAATGAAATTCAGGTTGTCAATGGAACTCAAAAACAAAGAGGAGTCAGAGTACGACAAGATTTGGAACTTATGGTATAGCTGATTGGAAGGTAGACATGAAATGAACAAAAGAAAGATAAATAAGAAGGTATGATGAAAGTTAAAAAATAAAAATGAAAATGAAATTCTGTTGCCTGCTCACAAAAGAAAGCATATATCTACCCATGCAAATAAATAACACACACATATCCATGCTATCTTTCTCTCTCTCTGTGTGTATTATACTGAATCTGGATGTTCTGCTTTGGATACCACGAAGGCTCCTCCCAGAAGGTAACAAGGAAAACAGGTCATGAAGAGGATGCATAGTGGCCCAGATAATCCTGCGGACCCTGCTCAAGTATCACTTATATGCTGTGTCCTGGGTATTCAGCAAACAGGAAGGGAACCTCCATTTTGTGCAGTCCAAATGAGACTCTTATCAGCTTTGAAACCAATTAATCTGGTTTATTATGGCTCTAAGACCAGTGGATTTGGGGAAGCCGCAAGAAACACTTACCCCTTGGGAATATCGCCCACGACACTAATCCCAAATTTGTTGTTCAGGCTGGCACCATAGCAGATTGCTGTGGAGACAATAATCTGAAAAAAGAAGGCAGGGAGGCAAATAATATTCTTTTGTAATTTAATGCTGCTCACAGATGAAGGGATTTAATAGGTTGCAATGTGTCTAATATGATGGCCTCATTCTTATCTGTTGGGTCAGAATTTCCCAAACACCAGCTAGCATAAAGATCTCTCAAGACCACTAGATTGGGGGCTTCCGGTTTTTCAAGGCTTCGGCGGCGGCAGAAATCCGCGATCGTGCGCGGTTCCTGCTGCGCTCGCTGCCGAAGTTCCTCCGATCCACTTGGTTCTGGAGGATATGGTTGCCCCGTAGAGGCAACCGAAGAGAGAGGAGATCCGGACAGGGGCTTGGGGGTATCGCAAACCCCCTCCCCAGCCAGCAAAACTCCTTTTTCCCAAGGCTGTGGAGCGGCGGTCAGCAATGGCCGCCACAAAGAAGCCTGCAGCCGGGTAAGATTTGTGCAGGAGGAAGCTGGAGAAAGTGAAAGTTTTTTTTTTTTTTTGCTGAACCGGGACAGCAAGGAACTCTTAAATACCCTGGAAATTAAACTGCTTGAATGATACATTGTTTCTTAAAGAAGGCTGTAAAAGTGGCGGAAGAAAAGTAAAAGGGAAAGTTATTTTCTCTCACTCTCCCTCCCCACGGAAATAGCAGAGGGAATCTGGAAAACCTGCTTGGGCACAAAAAACCTGAAACTTAAAGCCAAGGAGGTAAAAGATCTTTGAATATTGGAATTATAAACTAAAAAAATTCTTAATCTTTTTTTTTTCTATAAGTGGGAGGGAAGAGGTAAAGAACTTACTTTAAGATTGTATTGAAGGAGACTGCTTGGACTTTATGAGACTAGAAATAAATGGTGATAAAACTTCTAGAAAATTATTTTGGATCTGTGTAATTGAATTCTACCCCAGGAAGAGAAAATATAAAAAGAAGAAAGTGCTAAATGAAACAATTTGTTCTGATTTGGATTTGCTTTGTGACTTTGGGATTCTTGGGAACTATTTCTTGAAAGATCAAAAACATTTGGGTTGTCTTTTTTTTTTTTAAATGGCATTATCGGTTGAAGAACTACAAATGGAATTTCAAAAGCTGAAAGAAGAAGAACAAGAAGGCAAGGGCTCTTCTGGATCTATTTTTCACTTCTTAGAAATGGCGATTTCTACTTATCAAGAAATACAACAACAGGATGAAGAAGAAAGTTGGGAAGAAGCCACCTTTAATGGACAAATAATCTTAGTGGAAGAAGAAAACAGAAGTGGGGGAAAGAGAATGGAGAATTCAGAACTTAAAAAAGCAACCAAGAAAGGAAAAAATAAGAAAAATTGAGATAATGTCAGAAAGCAACAGAAAAGAGAAATACAACAAAGAGGGAAGATTAAGAGAGTGGGGTTTGAGAGATGGGGGGGCAAAAAGGCTAGAATTGATAAGAAAGGAAGGGAAAAAGGAAAGAGAAGTCATAAAGGTTTGAAACAAGATGTTAAAAAAAAGTTTTTTTCAGAGACAAAGGGTAAAATATAACTTAAAAAATGATTCTGCGAAAGTACATAAGACTGTATTGTAGATATTAGTATTTGAAACTGAGTTAGAAAATTGAAATATTACATGAGTTAATAATGCAATAAAGGGAATTTATAAAAATGTTTAAGATTTAACAATAGAGTTGAATTTCCTAAGAAATATTGTTTTTACTATATTATAAACTTCAATACTCTTTTTTGTTTGTTTGTTTGATTATTTCAAAATGTAGTATTTAGAATGTACTAAGCAGAATCAGCATGGAAAGTATGTATTATTCTAAGTGTTTAATTTAGGGGAAAGATAAAAAGTTGTCATACTTCAACCAGTGATCACAGGAAAAATATTGTATTAGAAAGAAAAGATAAATAGATAATTGAAAGTGAACGGACAAAAGATGCAAGTAAAATTATTTAAACTGAGGTGAAATAAATAAAATAGAATTAAGAGAGTGAATAGAAGAGAGAAAACATATAGAGAATATAGAATGTTAAATAAGATATGAAATAGTATATTTGTGAGCATGAATTTGATTTATGTCTGTACAAAAAGATGTAACCCGGGGTAAGCCGCTTTCCAAAAAGAAGTTTTATGTATTTATGTTTTGTGTTATGTCTGTCTATGTTTGAATCAAAACCCTAGAAGAACGTTGGCAGAGAATAATGAAATTGTAAATAAGGCAGATGGATACAATGAATATATATAATTCAAGGTAAAAGAAATATAATTGAATAGAAGGAAAGGGAGAAATAAAGAGAAGTTGGGAAAAGATATGAAGTTGAAGATAAGATAAATATACATATGAAATTGTGTTTGTATGGAAATATGATAATTTGGAATTATTTTGTTTTTAAATAAGATGCCTTATTTGTTTTTCCAGAAAAGATCTCTTATGTTGTTATATTCTATGTTTTGTTTGTTTGTGTATTGATTTCAAAAATTAATAAAATTTGTTTTAAAAAAAAAAACCACTAGATTGGGGAAGGTTGAGCTAGGCATTCCTCAGGTGCATAATGAGAGCGGAGGAGACTCAACCACTGCAGCACTCTAACCCTTTTCGTTTGGGTCTCAGAAATGAGACTCTGAAAATGCAGCACTAATGGCTGCTGACAACAGAGGCATTGCAGTGATCTCTCAGTTTGCAAAATATCTCAGTTTTGCTTAGTTCTTCATTTTGTTTCATTTTGTTTTAACCTTGGGTTCTTTTTGAAAGAGTGTGTAAATTGGTAAGTTGTTGTCATGAAAAAAACCAAACAGAATCCTATTTTATTACAGTAATAATAACAACAAAACATCATTGGCATTGACAAATTCATCACCAGTCAATTGCAAAGGGCAGTTTTGCTCAGAACAGCCTGCGATGATACCTGTAATATCATCAAACATCCATATCTGCCTATCCCATGTTCTTGGGAAGGAATCAATAGGTGGACAAAAATACCAAATCCAGTCTAAACATCTGGCTGATGGTGTGATAAACCATAACAGCAATAAAGCAGCAGTGTGCATAATTAAAAATATCATTCAGCAACTTAAATCTCACAGAGATACTTTTAAAAGAGGAAATTACCTAAACTAAATGACATTATCGAAGTAATTAACCATTATAATAACAGACAGTTCAATAAGATGGCAAATCACCAAAATCCTTGGCTTTTTGATTAAAATCAAGCATACTTGAATGCTTAGAAATTGAGACTTAGATTTTAAGAAGGAGCTCTCTAAACTCTTTGTTTCCTACTCTTTCAATTTCTCTTGCCTTTGTTTCTTTAAAAATAAAATCTTCATTTCAATGAAGAGAATGTATTTCTTCCAAGGAAACAAAATAAAAAAATTATTCCTCTCTACCACAATGTAATAGAAGCTAATACTAATTCCTTCCCAGAATTGTTTGGAAACAAATTCCTTCCAATGATTGCTCTTTTTTAAACCCCAACTAAAAACTCATTCCAGCCAAACCTTATTCCCAAAGAGAATCTTGAAAAGTGATCAGGAAGGCTTCTGGATCCTGGCATGGAAATTCATGCCCAGAGCAGACATGTAGAACGTGAGAACCAGGCCTATTTGTGGCTACTGAAAGCTTTGGCTGAAAGATTTAACATCATTTTTCAACTGGACCTTTTATGTGACAATAGGGGAAAATTATGAAACATGTGGCTAAGGAGTAAAATATTTCCAATTTCATTCCTCCGCTATTGAATATATGTCAATATATGCCATTACTTAATATATTCATATTGCAGTTGTGAAATAGATAGCTGTGTAAATCACATTAGGCATACTTTTGGGGCTGGTGGCAGCTAAAATATGGTGCATTTTCCTTATAAATACCTAAACATTCACCTTCTGCTGAGTATAATGCCAATAATTTTATTTCCTTAAAGTTTTCATCTTGTTTTAATAATTAGACTTTGGAGGGGTGGTATTTTGGGGATATTATGCTAATTGGTTTTTTCTTGTAATTTTAACAGATTTAAACAGATTTATGTCATGACTTCTGCACCACTGATTGTATTGCTGTTCCATAGTCATTTTAGGAAAAAACAGACAAGCCAATAATCTTATAGCATCGCCCAACAAGTTACCGTGAGAAGTTCAATGGGGATAGGTGTTGGAAGCTTCTTATCAAATTTGTCATTGAGTAGCTTGATGAGGCAAAGGGCAACCATAGAGATCAAAGCAGTGACCACAGTACCAGTGTGAGTGCCAGGTAATTTTGAGCAAATCTCCACAAAGGTCTGTGGGAAAATAGCAAGATAGAGGAAGTCATAATTTGGGGACACAAGAATACTGATGAAACACAACTTCTGTGTGTCTGTCTGTACTTACATAGATCAGTGACAATGGTCCAGATTTCTCTTCCAGGCTGATTCCAAAGACATACTTTAGCTGGGAAACCAGCACATGGACTGCAGCAGCTGTGGTATAACCTTGCACCAAGGGCTCTGAAAGATAGGTGGCCACAAATCCAAACTGTAGCAGGCCAAGGGCAACCTAAAAACAGATCATTGGTGAAGTTACACCTGCTGAAACCGAAACTCTCCCAGGATATTCTAGCATATTTTTCTTAAGACATCATTAGCCCAGAGAGCTAATGGTGACCCAGAAAACAGAACAAATGCTTAACTATTGCTAAGCAGGAAAGCAGAAGTTTCAATAATTTGGAAGCCATTGCACTCCCTGGAATCCAGTTATTTTTAAATTCAGTTCCTTACTTAAGCAGGAAGCATCTGCTCAGTCACTCACAACGCACAATCAGCAGCTCTTAGAACACACACTTATGAACTATTCAGGAAATGGGATTTTTCACTCCTCACAGTTCTCTGCATATGCATGATACACCTTACCTTGTCTTCTCTTTTCTTCCTGTTGACACCCTCATCTCCTGTTAATCCGCTCATCTTCCAACATATCCGTGTCACTGTCCACATTAACTGCAGCTACCTCACCTCAAGGGACGCAGGGGCTCGGTGGCTAAGACGCTGAGCTTGTTGATCAGAAAGATCAGCAATTCAGCGGTTCAAATACCTAGCACTGAGTAATGGAGTAAACTCCCGTTACTTGTTCCAGCTTCTGCCAACCTAGCAGTTCAAAAGCATGTAAAAATGCAAGTAGAAAAATAGGCATCACTTTGGTGGGAAGGTAACAGAGCTCCGTGCGCCTTCGGTGTTTAGTCATGCTGGCCATATGACCATGGAGACATCTTCGGACAGCGCTTTGTAACAGAGATGAGCACTGTCCCCTGGAGTCGGAAACGACTAGCATGTATGTGGGAGGGGAACCTTTACCTTTACTTCACCCTGCCTAATAACAGTAGGACCAACCCTTTCAGCCTCAGAACCAAAGCAAATTCAATATTTCTCATTTTTAGATTTTAGGTATTGATTCAGTTTACAGTTGACCACAATCAGGTTTTTACTGCATGTTTATCACCCATTTTACCTGGAATAGGCCCATTAAGCAGGTGACTGAAGCTACCAGCTCTACCCGGGCTGCATCCCTCCGGATCTCATTGACAAACGTTTTATTGGTGCCAACAATCACTTCCAGATATTTCCCATTTGGTTCTAGTGACTCTGTCATACTTCCTAACATCACAGAAATGACAGCAAATGGACCTGTGGGAAGATATCCAAGGTCTGAGTGAACCTTTTTAATCTCAAAAGATTTTGGAAAGGATGTCTATTTTCTTAGACCATATTATTAAACATAGTATGATACAACAAGCATCTATCAATTGGGCAAATAAATTAATTTGTGCTGCCAAATTTGTTAACAGAGACGTACTATCCAATATTATGTTTAGGTGCTGTCAAATTTAAGAACAAGATACTTTGAAGGTCCTGCTGTCCCATCTTTCTTCTGTGCTATCATTTGTCCCTCCCTTACTTCTTCTTCTGCTATTGCTCGCCCTCCTCATCAGTGGTGGGATTCAATTTTTTTTACTACCAGTTCTGTGGGCGTGGCAGGGGAAGGATGCTGTAAAATCTCCAGTCAGAGGTGGTATTTGCCGGCTCTCCAAACTACTCAAAATTTCCTCTACCGGTTCTCCAGAACTGGTCAGAACCTGTTGAATACCACCTCTGCTCCTCACTGTTCTTCTCCTTCTCTTCTGCTTAATGTGGAAAAAGTACCGTGCCAGCCAACTGGAAAACTCAGCGCATTTTAAAAACAGAGTCTAAAAAGGATATCGCTGCAGCTACAGCTTCCAGTTGCCCAAATAAGTGCTTTCTTTGATACTCTTTTCTCAAGTCTTTTGGGGGGGGATTCCCAAATTTATGAATTCTAATCCTATGGTTCATTGCTAGTGGTGCTATTGGTCTCCCTCTAGTAAAGGTGATCTTATTAGGCATTTAAATGAGCATTCCTTGCTTACCAACAGAGATGTGTCTGGACGTCCCAAAAAAGAAATACAGCAGAACTGGATAGAAGGCTGAATACAAACCATGGACTGGAGGCAACCCAGCTAGGAGTGAATATGCCAAACCTTGGAAAAATAGAAGTGGAAGTTACCACACATGCCATTAGCACTTCATTTTTATTTCACTCATTCTAGTTTTTATTCATCCATCAAGCACTTGTGTAGGAAATATTTATGGCCTCCTCCTGTAATTCCTCACCAACTTGCTAATGTGTGTCAAATACTTTGGACAAGAATAGGCAATACTACTTTCCAGATGTTTGAACCACAATTTGCATAAGCCCCAGATCAATACACCTTACACCTGCAGTTCTTCCCCACTAAATACCATATTTGCCGGCGTATAAGACGACTTTTTTGCCCCGAAAAACATGCCTCCAAGTGGGGGGGTCGTCTTATACGCCGGTATATCCACTGCCGGCTTTCGGATGCTTGTTGGACGCAGCGAAGGCGCCTCTGGCTTCCCGGATCCCCTGCGTCGCTTCCGCTTCATCCCGCTCGCCTCGCTCCGCCCGAGGCTGCAGCCTTCCTGCTCTTCCCACGGCCCCTGGCACTCCGCCCTGCCGCTGCAGCCCCGGGGATTTCTGGAGGGCGTTTCTGGTGGTGGTGGGGGGTCGTCTTATATGCCGGGTCGTCTTATACGCCGGCAAATACGGTACCATTTTTTCCCCAAGGTTTTTTTTCCAATAGCCACTTAGTTCCATCTTTTTCAAAAGTAATGATTCAAAAGCAAAGGCAGATTTTCAGTAAGTTTTCCTGCAGCAGAAGTGGACATTCTCCCAGGATAATGAGCTACAATTTGATCCTATAACCACTTGGGAAGCTACAGGCACCCTTACCAGAAGAATAAGGAAGATTGGGACTTCCAGGTTTTTCAGGTTCCTAGATTTGGTGTGATTTATAGAAGGAATGAGAACAGAAAAGCCCTGGAAAGCAAATTGCCCTCATTACCATCTTTATAAAGCCTCTTCCACATAGCCCCAAATCTCAGTGAGGAAATTTAGAAGTAATTCATTTAAGTCACTGTGGAGAGAAAGCAAGATGGCATGATGTGTGAAGGTTTGTTTTCCAGAGGCTTCCTACAATCTCTATAAAAACCAAGCCAGGTTCACCCTGCTAAAGTCAATCATATTGCTATTGAATTTTGACAGTGGAATCTAGCAGGGGCAGTGGAATCTAGCTTTCCAACTTCTTTTCTGTGCCTATTTCTACCTAGCATTCATTTATTACTATAGCTTTAGTATCAGAAATTATTTGGGAAAGTTCAGTCCAGAGGAACAGAACCTGTCAGTCAGAGAATTGCAATTGGCAAGAGATCAAGAAAGAGGGCCTATTCTGCCACTGCTCCTGCTTTGTGGAACATCTTGCTCCAACCAAAGGTGAGGAAAGCTCCCAATCTTCTAGCCTTCCACAAAGGGGTCAAAACCTGGCATTGCATTGAGGACACAGAGGTCCACACAGCCATGGGACACCCTCCCCCCACATGCACACCTGTATTAACATCTGCTAACCCCCCCTCCGCATCTTGGAATTTTGCAATTTTATAATGGTATTTTTATAATTTTAAACTTTTTATCTTACATTATTCTGATTTGAATGTTAATTTTAGAGATTATACTGTACAGCACCAGATAGATAGATAGATAGATAGATAGATAGATAGATAGATAGATAGATGATAGATAGATAGATAGATAAATAGATAGATGATAGATAGATAGATAGATAGATAGATAGATAGATAGATAGATAGATAGATAAGCAAGCAGAAAGGGGCAAGCGATGTCTTGAAAAGCAGATGATAATGGCACAGCAAGGTTATTTATACAACTCTTGTTCTCCACTCAAATGTGTGCGGGGCCAGTATAGTTGGTCAGAGGATATATTTCTTTCTCAAGATCCCAGGACCCACAAGAAGATCTCAGATAACATACCCTGTGGGAGATGCATAATTGCTACACTGAGTCCTGAGATGATGTCCCCTAGTAGCCATTCTTTGACTGGGTAGCGTGGCAACCAGCTAAGGATGGGCAGGAATCGAAGTAGCAAGCTCTTTGCAGTTGATCCTGAGCATCTGGAAAAGAGGTGGACAAAGGCCTTTGCAAGAGGAAAGCAGGGTCTTCAATTTACATGGAGTTTGAGGGGCAATGAAAGAATTGGGAATCTCTTCCATTCCATGAGGTAAATTTGTGCATCACTCCCAGAACCTATGATAGATGTGCACTCAAGGAGAAAAAACACAACAGCCATGCCACATTATCCTGCAGTAAAAGATCAAATTCCAGAGTTGCAATATTGGAATTCTGGACATTTTTACGACTAAAAGCAGAGGTGGAGCTGCTCCACCTACTCCTAACTAATTGTGTGCAACAAATGGCCATAACCTTTCCGCCCCTTTCCTTTTTTTTTATTATTCTAAAAGTGCAACAGAGCATGCAGTTGTTAGGCATGATTTTGTTCCAGCCCTTGGCAAAAAATAGTTAGCTACAATCCAAAGAATCATATTTTTTAAAAAATAATGGAGGTGGGGAGGGGGAGGGGAGGGGAGCGGAGGAGCTGAACAGTGCTAGTTTCCAGGTGCTGGCCCATATGGACACTTCCACCGAGGGCAGCTTCATCTCTTCACGCACTTTCCCAGACCTGATAGGCAGCAAAGTTAGCCAGAGAAATACAATAATTATGAGAAGCAATGAAATATCACCAATAAAATATAAAGAAGTACATGAAGAAAGTCAATCAATGTCTAGCTCAAGTCCTTTCAAGGTTACTTTCTTTTGTCTTTTGTGTAACAATGGAAGCTTCCTTTTGGAGAGATACAAAATTGCAATCTTTGTTGAGGCAAAACAGACCAAACAACTAGCTTATTTAATATATATGTAGAGAACAGTTACCACATACCTTTAATTTACTGATTAATATGAGCTGAATATGGGGACAAGGGAACCGTGTTATCTAATTTAGAAGGGGAAAAAGCAGAAGTGGTATTCAGCAGGTTCTGACCAGTTCTGGAGAATCGGTAGCAGAAATTTTGAGTAATTCAGAGAACCGGCAAATTCCACCTCTGACTGGAGATTTTACAGTATCCTTCCCCTGCCACACCACCAAGCCACGCCCACAGAACCAGTAGTAAAAATATTTGAATCCCACCACTGGGAAAAAGGGTTTCTCATTTGTCTATAACTGCAAGAAAGAAGATTGAAGTTGCTTCTTCAAATATTTTCTTTTTTGCTTTTTATTGTTATCAACATCTTTTTCTCTTTCTTCTTTCTTTCTTTCTTGTTTCAGATTTTTTAACTTTGTAAAACAAATTGCTTATGTATGTGTGTATGTATATATGCGCGTGCACACATATATACACGCATGTATATATAATGCATGAGAAAAATCTGACAAGTTTGAATGTTTGCAGACAGTAGAAGCCTTGCAAGTGGGCACTAAAGAGAAAGCTAAAACCTTTTTCCATAGATCAAAAATCCCATCTCACGTCCTCTTATATACAAGCTTTCTAATTATTTGGATGCACCATGTGATTCTTTTTCTGAGGCACACTCTCTGTGGAGCACAGCCTGGAGCGTAACGTTGCAGTATGAAATACTATATTAGTGTTCCCTATTCCAGTCCACAATACCTTCTTTTGTGATGTTTACACTTCTCTCCAGTTCAGTTTTTTGTTTTCTCTACCCCATGGTCAAACTTATTGTAGAAATAGTTTCTGTTTGTACAAACTTCAAAGTTTCCCCAAATTAGGGAGGTCTTGAGAACTGGGATAGTTTAATCACCTCAGCAATAGCACAAACGTCTAAACATAAAAGAGAGACCAAAGAGTTTCATGAATGGGAAACCATTTATATGCTGTAGCATTGGCATATTGTTCTTTTGTTCCCTCAGAGTTGAGGGCAACGTGTTCTTTTGTCCTTGATTTATGACCATAATTGATCCCAGGATACTGTGACAGTCATAAATATGAGTCAGTTGCCAAGTGTCCAAATTTTGATCACATGACCATCGGGATGCTATAATGAGGGTAAGGGTGAAAAATGGTCATGTCATTTTTTTCAGTGCTGTTGTAACTTTGAACAGTCACCAAATGAACTATTGTAAGTCAAGGACCCCCTGTTTCCTGTCATTATTTCTCTCCAAGCACCTGCCATTTAGAAACAATAGCTTACTTTCCTCATGTTTCCCAAGGCCCTTTCTCAGTCATCGTTTCATAATCTGAAACATGCTTTCCTGATTGTTCCTGCTATGAGTATGGATTAGCAATACTTTACCTTATTTTTCTGATCTGGGTGGAAAGTGACACCCGTGAAATCTGTTTTCTCAGGCCGATCTTCTCTAGCTCAGACTCACTCAGCACTTCACCTGCCCTTTCTGCCTTGGAGTGACCTGGGTCTCCATTTGCCTCCATGCCCACTGCAGCGATTCCACCTGTTTTGTGGTTCAGCCTTGAGACTAGGAAGAAAAGATGAAGCACCATCAATGCTAAGTCCATGAGGTTGACATTAATTTAGCGATGACTGGTGTTGCCTATTGTAGTTATGTGTGTGTGTTTGTGTTTACACAGCCATGTGTTTTAACAAACCCATGTAGATAACAGATAATCAGAGTTGGAAGGGACCTTATAGGTCATCTAGTCCAACCCCTCCCCCACCCAAGCAGGAGACCCTACACCATTTCTGACAAATGGCAGCCCAGTCTCTTCTTGAAAGTTTCAAGTGATGGCGCTCCCACAACTTCCAAGGGCAAGCGGTTCCATTGGTTTCTATGTGTTTAATGAAGCCACGTGTTTTTAACACAGAATAAAAATGTGATCTTTTTCTTGGGTGGGGGGGTTGTCATTTTCTATTCTGAGTTCTTAAATTTTATCTTAGACAACCAGAGTTTGCATTGCAATATAATTTAAGCAAAGGAATAAAATGCATAGTAAATATGATCTGCTGGTTTGGGGGAAAAAATGTAACCAGGATCCTTGAGTTCTATCTTGAATTTTTTAAAATAAAGGGATCCATTAAAAAAGAAAAGAACCTGACATTTTAAAATCCTGAGACATGTCTTAAAGCAACTGGTAGATATCCAAGTAGTTATACTGTACAAACAAAATGGCTCCTGAGGAGAAAGGTTTTTTTTAAAAAGAAAGAAAGAAGAGGGAGGGCTGAGCCATGCTTGGGGCTACTGGGCCATTGCCAGTAGAAACCACTTATATAGCTCCCTAAGTCCAGGAAAGGATGATGTCATTGTTCTCCCATCTCCAGCTCAGGGCAAATGCCCCTGCATTGGGTTTTCCAGGTCTGATTCAAAACTGCCCTTGGTTGACCCCAGCTGTCTCAAACCCTTCAGAGAAAACAGTCTTTGTTCCATTCTAGTGACAGCCTCACCTCCAACTGGCTGCAGTGATTTTATTTCCCCCACTCTCTGAATGGTCACTTCTCACCCAATGGGAACTCTACCCAGCTTGGGGGAGGCATGTTCTCCTTGCTTTCCCACCTCCTGTCCTTCCATGCCTTTTATTGTTTTGTAAAAATCTGTAAAATACAACTTAGTGGCATTACAACTTTTGTTCCTATAAAGCTTAACTGCCATTTCTTTTGTGCCACAGAGTTCACTTGGACTACAGAAGATCATAAAAAGGAAAGTATAATCAGTTATTTTTGATTTGTTTGTTTATATCCCACCTTTATTGTTTTTATAAATAACTCAAAAGAGCAAATATACAGAATGCTCCTTCTGCTTCCTATTTTATCCACAACAACAACCCTGATATTCTGTTGATGTGATCTTTGTAGCATCAGAACAACAATGCTGTCATAAAGAGGGGGGGGGGAGCATAAGGGGTCTGTTTTACTGTCAGGTAATGTGGGAAGGGGCTGTGATAACATCTTTGTGGGCAAGCATCTGGGAAAGCAAAGGAAAGGTGCACAGACTAATAGCAGGGGCCCTGTAGTCCACCCCATACAGAAGCTAGTCAGTGTGGCTACATGGATGGGAAAGGCAAGAAGCAGAAGAATGATCAATCAGGTCTTGCAATAGCCATGATCTGGACTGAGCTCAGTTTGGCCCAACCCAAACTGAGCTGAGTCTCTCTACCCCTCTCTCTCCCTCCCTTTTTCTCTCTCTCTCCCTCCCTCCCTCCCCCCCCCCTCTCCCTCCCCCCCCCCCCTCCCTCTCCCTCCCCCCCCCCCCCCTCTCCAACTGTTTCTGGAAACTAAATGCCATGCAAAGGAAGTTTAAGGCATGGCAGAAAGGACAAATGACTAAATGCATAGACTCTGGTCTCTTAAGGCATTTTGGTTTTCAAACTTTCCCTGAGCATTTCAGGAGCAAGGCAAGTGGAACTACAAGAAAGAAATACAATCTGCAGGTAAAAGAAGTCTTCTAACAATTGTCTATGGAGTTTCTCAGTCATCCAGGTCATGGTTGCCCCAAAAGTGCTTTTTTCAAGAGGCGGCTGGGGTTTCTGGTTTTTATTTGAAGACGTTTCGCTTCTCATCCAAGAAGCTTCTTCAGCTCTGACTGGATGGCTTGTAGCAGTTCTTAACGCCATGAGCATCTGCTGCCCGGGTGGTCCTGGTCTGGTAATAGTGATGGAACCTGATAGCAAATCGGGCCAGAGTAGGCAAGGGAAGGCATTTAATTCCACCACCCCCACGACGCTCTGCTGAAGATCTGAGGGAACAGCTCTCTTTTGAAACAAGGGTTTGTTTTGAAGAGATATTTTTCACTTACAGAAAATCTACAGAATTTTACCAGAAGCAAATATCAACTTCAGAAGAGAGATTTTCCCTCTGCCAAAAGCAAGGAAAGAATGTGTTATCGGATTCTAAGTAGGGTCTCAATTAATGTTCTGATCTCATTACTTATTACCTTCATTCCAAGCTGAGATGCATTCCTGTGAATATGTGGTGTTTGACCAGATCCAGGGAACAATCGATAGGATTAAACATCATAGAACTCATGGGAGGAAAATCATTTTGAACATTGAGAGGCAAAACATCTCCCTTTGAAAATGCAACCTTAAGGCAACCTCCCCGCTTAAAAAGTACATCCTTGCTGTAATTCCGCTAGTGCATGGGAACTTTATTGTATTCCCTCTGGGCAATTTTTTTTTAAGAACATATTGATTATGCTTTGTGAACATGTCAAAACCTAACTGAGGAAGCCGTCCTAAATAGAGGCATTTCACCGATCCATTTCACTCTGCCTACGAGGAAGCAGAAGTCACAGCATCCGGATCTTGTTCCCTTTAGGAGCTGCTTCTACCACCCAATTTCTTCTGTACCCCTAAGGAGTTTGCTGCATTCAGATGCTCCCTTTCTCCAGGGCCAGTCTTGAAATAGGGTTTTATAGTCATTCCAATTAGCTTCTCTGTGTGGGGTGGAGACATCACCATCTCCCAGATTGCATCAGGAGATGAGAGTTTTCAGAGTTACAGGGTAAGTTTAAACTTCCCAGCTCAGTCCTCTCTATCCAAGCTAGAGATTCTAGAACATGGTGGAGGACATTTGGGAGCTGGGTGGGTCAACTGCTCACCCATATTTTCAGACTCTTTGTAGCCTAACCTCTGTTGCCTTCAAGAGCAGCATGGATCATCATGGTAGGCATCAGTAAAAATGTCAAAAGGAATAGAAGATGGTTCGATGAAGGAAATTTTCCTTTCCTTTGCTTTTTACCTTTCCCCATAATAATTATCAGTCAAGAGTAGAAAAATCTGCTACCAGTCTTTGTTCTTTTTTTCCCAGAGGAGAAAAAAAAAAGATTTTATATTTTCTCACTAAAATACCATCAGCTGAAGTTTTACCATGGATGGCTTTTAATTCTCTTAAATATGAGTGCACAAACATCCTTCCTCAGAACATATGCAGCTGCATTCATAAAAAATGCAGGCCTTTATATGATGTCAAAAGCACCATCAGGCTCCAACTACTCTTTATCAGCTCGCTCTTGGGGCTTTACAGAGGTTATCCTTATTACAAAAAGTGGGAAATGCATTATCTCTTGCCGCTTTGTTGACTCCAATAGTTGACTCGATAAGGCTTTACCCATCCTGCATTTGTCTCTCTCTCTCTCATGGTCAACAATCCTCTATTTGCTTTTTGCATCACATAACAATTACCAAATGTAGGTGTTGTGCTTTAGGACCCTTCACAGGAGGAAGGTGATGTTACATGCTGGGACTGCATTATCTGAGGGTATATATTGTCCAGACCTTTGGTCTGGTTTGGGTTCTATTGATTCTTTTTATCTAATACAAAGAGCTGGAATTATCTCCAGTTTCCTTAAGTAAAATTGCCCATTGATCTATCTCTTGTTTCCACTCACTAAAACATCAACATACTTTACTAAGGGATAGGATTTTGACTGGAAACCAAGTTCACTTTAAAAACTGGATCTATGTTTTGAAAAAATGGAAGCCAACAATTATTTTCTTATTTCAATCCTGGAAGCCAAAATTTCCTATCATTCTTGAACTTGAGCAGATTGAATGTTCATGTTTGCAGACCTTCCTCTAAAACTGTAATCTGATAAGCTTGCTCACCAGCGACATTAGGTGTTTTTTTTTTAACATTCCTTTTAAAATTATTCTTAATCAATTTACTGAAAAAGGGATTTGCAACTTGGCAACTTGTTCATTATTTTGTAAACCTTCCTAAATCTTAAACGTGCCTTAGTTTTGTCAGGCTTGCCTTAATTTGGATATTGTAATATTTTCTTTCTCATGGTCAAAATTGTTTTTGCTTTTTCCTGAAGGTCTCTCATGCTACCGTGTGTCTCATATAATAAGGCTGGGTCTTATTTTTTTTGGAGCCCCGAAAAAATGGCTAGGCCGTCTTTTCGGGGGTGACTTAATTCCCCCCCCCCTTGCATCTTTGGGTGGGCGGCGACGGCTTGGATGTTGACCTCGGCGTTGGTGGGGCACTTCGTATCGGGGTCAACGCAGGCAGCACCATATCCGGGTGTGCAACAAAAGTACTTCCTAACGGCAAGCCCCCCCTGCCATTTCCCCCCCATTTCACATGTTTTAATATAGGTCTTAATTTGGGGGGAGGGGTTTAATTTCATTTCATGCCTATAAAACATGCTGGGACTTCCTATTGGGGGAGGCCGTATTGTTGGAGAAACAGGGTATTTTAAAGTCACCAAGAAACATGATCCTCCTTTTATACTAGATAGTTGCTTATGCTACAAGGACAAAACTCTATATTTTAAAATTCTGTGATGAAAATTGTCTCAAGCTACCAAGGCAGAAAAGTACACCCAATATGCATTCTCTCCTCTATAATTCACTGAAATTGCTAAACAACAATTAAGGAAGATCCTATCTTACTCCCCACACCTTGTTCAGAAACAAATTAAATCATATTTTCATTGCCAGTAATTGCCAGAGCACAAACTGATATTTAGGAAAAAAGCCTTGGACGGCATAACCATTCTTGGCAAGCTGGGAACCTACAAGAGAAGCATGGAAATAACATGGGAATGGGAGCAGGAATGATGCAGCACCTGAGACTATGGCTTGCTACAGATATAATCTAGATTGCAATATTTTCTGAATCCCATTTGTACAACATTCAACATAAGTATGCATCACCGTAAGCTTTAGAGTCAGTTCCAGCTCTTGGGACAGGTGGTCAAAAGTTCTGGTTTATAGCATTAATTTTTAACATTTCTTTTATTAAACTCAAATGAAAATAATTTTAACCCTCAAAGAGCTACTAAATTGTTACCTCCATTTCAACTCTTTACCACTATCCCAACAGAACTATTTCAGTTTTCTGTTTATTTATCTGTTAATTACAGCTCTGGCTTTTTTCAGGGGCATTTGTAAGGGAATGTAAGGATTGTCCTCTCTTACCTGACAGATGTCACACACGACTGCTGAATTGATAACACATGTTGCAGACAGATAGCTTTATAACCCTGGGCTCTGCTTGGCTCAGAATTAATCCCTGACAGTGATCTTTGAGACACCACTCCCTCCTTGCCTTAATGCCACTACACTGATCCTGTTGCTTCTCCGCTTGGTTGACGTTCCAGAGGCATTTCGGTTGTGCTTTTTGGATCAGAGCCCTAACTTAGTTGATGATTTGGCCCAGGACTCTGGGACTTTATCAGTGTCAATACAGATGGATGAAGGTGACCAAACTTGAGACGCTGCCAGTCCCCCCCACCCCCATACTTTTAAAGAAGATACAGGCACTGTGCTAGAAGGGGCCATCCAGATGACATTTCCCCCTGATAACCAATAACAGATAATCAGAGTTGGAAGGGACCTTGTAGGTCATCTAGTCCAACCCCCACCCCCACCCATGCAGGAGACCCTACACCATTTCTGACAAATGGTAGTCCAATCTCAACATAAATCAACTTAGAAAATAACACAAAACTCAGAGTTCCACGAACCATCCACATTGTTTATTAATATGTCCTGAGTTGCAGATTTTGGATTGAAAGGATAAAGTGACCTTTTGGAAATTCATTTGGCCCTTGTCAATAACTCTTAAAGCAGCCATGTCTTTTCCCGGATAATGTAGCTCAGTGGCCCCCAATCCCTTTAGGCACCAGGGGCTGCTTCCAAGGAGAGAGGGTATTCCATGGACTGGAGGGGGTGTGGTTTCGCATGCTGCCTGCATGCCGTGAATGGGGCTTCGTTTGTTTGCACGGCCCAGTTTCTGGCATGTTGTAGCCCAGTGCTGGTCCACCAACCCGAGGTTGAGGACCCCTGATGTTTATTCTGGGAACTATCAATGTTTACACTTTGTGGTTGTCAGAGGTGGGTGACATCTATTCCTTCCACCACTCCTCACAAAATCCTTTCAATTGGTTTAATTGCCATGACAAAAAAAAAGGAGAAAAGGGAAAGATTTGAATTATTCTCCAATGCATTCCACAGTCTGTCGTTTGGGGAGGGAAAGTCCACTTTGTTTAACAATTAAGCTAAAGAATTCTATGGTTGCAATATGACAGTAAATGAAGTGGTATTACTGCTGCAAATGAACAAGAGCACACAGCCAAGGAACTTGAGGAACCTTATAATCAAATAAATAAAATAACATAAAAAAATAAATAAAATAAGTTGGGTTCTCTCAGAGCTGGCATTTTAGACAACCATTCAGAGAGACAAGTTTGTACAGCTTCTGTGCAAGGCTGGACTTCCTCAGATTTAATTGAAAAGCTAAATACTCTCATGAAGTATTTGGAAATAAAATATTTTAGGGCAGTGGTTCTCAACCTCGGCAACTTTAAGATGTAAGGACTACAACTCCCACAGTGCTCCAGTCAGCATGCTGGCTGGTGAATTCTGGGAGTCAAAGTCAGTACCCCTTAAAAGTTACTGAGGTTGATAAACACATTCCCACCCTCAACCCTCCTCCACCCCCAAATCTCTTAGTTAAACATTTATGACTGGTTCTTTTTCGGTAATATACAGCCAAGAAAAAACCTCTTTGTATGAAGATCTATTCTCTGATATGAAAGAGGAAAATGGGAAATGATTTCAGAACCAAACCGCAATTCTTCTCAAGAAAAGGTCACATACTCCATATTACATAATTTGTGTAATGGAAAAGAACAAATGTATTGTTGACTTCCTGGTCAAATTACGTGTCCATGATAGAAACCAGAGAAACTAATTAGATGTGGCATGTTGTTATGATAATCTGCACTTGTGGTTCTGGCAACTCTCCAATAGAAGAGTCAGAGTTGAAGAAGATAATAATTCAGGAGTATCTGAATGGGTACATAGTATTAAGCTTTTATTGCCTATAGTGTAACACCTTCATTCTCCACAACACAAGTATGCTCTTTCATACTGCACAGTAGCTTTCATTACTGTATTCACCTTTGTGACTTGGATGTATTCACCCTCCCAACATAAGTAAACTTCATTAGCTTAGCCTGTTCAGAGGTGGTTAAGACTGTAGTACTCTCTTGATGAAAAAGAAATAAATTCATGGTCAAAGTAGGAGTGGTGAGAAATAAAATGCAGAACACCAGTTTTAATTTCTTTCTTTTTGCACTTCTTTTTTCATTTTGATTTTAGCTGTAATATGCTACAACAATAGCTGTAATATGCTATTGTGCAACAACAATTTCTTGTTACAGTAAATTCAAGGAGATAACCATCAAAGTTGACTTTGGCTACAAATCTTATTTTCTCCTTGTTTTTTTAAAAAATAATTCTAAAGCCAAATCAAAACAGGTCCTTGAGAGAAATATAATTTGCTAAAGCACCCAGAAATGCATTTGGTTTAGAGCAGAATGTATTTATCCTTCTGTAAAGGGTATGGATATAATGATTTAAATATTTAGTTTGTTTCATACGGGAAATTCTTTCAGTCCAAAGAATCAACAAAAATAAATTGTAAAAAAGCAAAGAGAAGTTTATCCCCCAAGGCATCTTTTTGAAGTAAATATGCGAATGATCCCTATTTAAATAGCAAGAACCTCAGTAGATGTGGGTAATATCAACAATATACACCGCTGCAATGTGTCAAGAACCTTGGCCTGGGGAAAAAGGACTCCTTTAAAAGGGAGGTTTGGAAATTCCTGGAAATTTCTTCTTTCTTCATTGGTGAGATGGGACATGCAAATATCCTGGAAGAGTCAGATGAACTGAGGTTCTTTGTACAGGTACTTCTCAACATACAGCCATCAATTTAGTGACTGTTCTAAGTTACAATGGCACTGAAAAAATGTGACTTACAACCAGTCCTCACACTTGTGACTGCCACAACACCCCCACGGTCACATGATCAAAATTCAGGCACTTGGCAACAAGCATATATTTATGATGGTTGCAACATCCTGGGGTCACGTGATTGCCATTTGCTTCCTTCCCAGTCAGCTTCTGACAAGCAAAGCCAATGGGGGGAAACCTGATTTGCTTAACGACTTCATGATTCATGCATCTGCAGTGATTTGCTTAACACTTATGACAAAAAAGGTCATAAAATCAAGCAAAACTCACTTAACAGCTGCTTTGCTTAGCAACAGAAATTCTGATCCCAATTGGAATCATAAGTTGAGGAATACCTGTATGGAATACCTAATTTTAGGTATTCCAAAATTAGGAATACCTAATTTTGACACCTTGACTATTACTTCAGCAGGATCCCCAGTTAAAGCAGCAAACTGACATGGATTTACTGGGGGCCATGTTGCTTATACATTGAGAGAAAAATCCCAATCTTACAGCTCCTTGCTGGATATATAGAGCTATAAAAATACACCAGCAATGGAGAAAAAAACCTCTATGACTGTAGCTTCAAAGATGAGTTCTACACACACACACACACACACACACACACACACACACACACACACAAACACACACACACACAGAGTTACCAGATGCAGGCGTTTGTTTTGGGGGTAAAACGTTTGCTAGAGAGGAGGAGGAAAATAGACTCAAATTAAAAAAAAATATTAAAAAAAACTTACTTTCATGTGTGTTTCAAAGACAGCATCCAGTGCCAAATCAAATTTCAACTAAGGCCAAGTTCAAAAATATGTCTGATTCCACCCTGCTAATACAATAGACACTCCAGGAAGAGTATCAATACAACTCTGTTAGAATATATAAATACATGAGGTTGCCAAAATGTGTAATTGTTCTAGCATTAGAAAGTATACAAAGCTGTTTTGGGTCCCAGGCTTGTTAGACTGGGAATATATGACAAAGCAAATAAGATCCTAGAACTCAGTTACAAATGCGCTGACTTAATTTAGTAGTGAGAATACCCTTGTCCCAGCACAATACTTGCCACTTACTGCTGGCTCATGAGGAGATAAGATATAGACATTCAACAAGACCAACCTAACACACAACCTGAAAAAAAGTCTGCAAGAAAAGGTCCCTCCATTTTTCTGCCTTGAGCTTTATCGGGAAAGGCTGCATAACATCGCCTCATGCCACAGTCCAAATGCATCATGGACAGCTAGAAAATAAGATCAGCATCACAACAATGGGAACATAAGAACCGTAAAAATAACCATAGAAATTTCTCTTCTCTCTGATTACAAAGATACAAAAATGTATAAAACCCTTCCCGCGCCCACATCTTGCAGCCATCCCACCCTGTCGTGTTTGCACAGAGTACAGAAAAATGGTTTTGGAAAGGAAGATTTCAGTTGGTCCAGTTTGGAGATGCTATTTTGCCCATGGTGTGGTAGCTTCCCTCCTTCCCATCAGGGTGTCCCTTTGAATGGGGAGAGGGGCCCTGTAGCACCCAGACACCTTTTTTCCACAGTCCAGTGAGTGCATCGTGCTGATTCTCATCCCACCAAATTCTCCACCACTGAATGCTGGAGGAGAGCATAGTTGGTCTCTGCTTGCACAAAGCCTCTCTTCTTTCTTTCTTGTAGGCCCTCTGAGGGATCCTGGTCCTCTGCTGGAAGTGCCTGGTCCTGCAGTGCCCCTTGGTTCTTCTCACAGCAGCTGGGCCCCTCAGGAATGACCCTCACTTCTTGTTAATCTTCTCAGGGGAAAAAACAAAAACAAAAGGCATAACTGAGGCAGCCACTTCTCTTGAGGAAATAAAAACAACAACAACATTGCATTCAGAATCAATTATAGCGATTAATGAGGATGCAGAAATACCCTTCCACTCCCATGAACCCAATGTGGTGACAAACATGGTGGGAAGATAATAAACAGAACTAAAGAGGAATTAAATAAGCATGCTGTGGGAACATGACCCGGGCCACTAATTCTTCTCCAAACCACACCTCAAAATAAGACAAAAGCATTACATTGTGCATTGTCAATGTGACTTGAATTACAGTCAGATGGGCTGAAATGCACAATAGCTTCATATACTGTGGGGCATAAGCTGATATTTTTCTTATCTCATGGTCAAATGGAAGGACAGCCTTTCTCCAATCACATCTACCATTCCATCAGGCAGAAGAGGCATGCTCTATCTGCCTATCTGCCAGGGACTGTTGTCTAGCAGGGTCAAGAAAGACTTTTCTACCATGGCATCCCTGCCACCCCCAAGAAAATCATCCCCTGAGACATTCTGAAAATTGGTTTTGCCACCCGGAGATCTGGGAATAAGGGAGATAAATCTGGTTGTATTGTTGGTTATTCATAGAATAGCTCAGCTATGAATTTTGCTGCTTGGTTTTTATTTTCTTCAATCATTATATTTACATTATTTTGGTGTTTTATTTTGTTTTGTAATTCTTTCTGAGCCATCCAGAACCATATATTGGAGAAGGGCAGCTACAGGAAGTTATTGAATGACAACCATAATTGGGATCAGAATTGTGATTATTAAATGATGGGTCATAAAGTGAAACATCATGTGACTACATCAATTAACAATCACTTAGAAATAGCAATAGCACTTACACTTATATACCGCTTCACAATGCTTTACAGCGCTCTCAAAGCAGTTTACAGAGTCAGCATATTGACCCCAACAATCTGGGTCCTCATTTTACCCACCTTGGAAGCATGGAAGGCTGAGTCAACCTTGAGCCTGGTGGGATTCGATCTGCCAAATTGCAATCAGCCTGCAGTCAGCAAAGAAGCCTGCAGTACTGCACTCTAACCACTACACCACTGTGGCTCATTCCACTTAGCAAGTGGAACCCAATTTTATTGGTCATTAGCTGAGATCCCCACCCCAATCCAAGCCATTTCAGGCCAGCCCCAAGACTCAGTAGGGTAAGGGACTGCCTTCCCTCCAACTCCCTCCACCCACCAACTTCTTCCCCCAATGTGCCCTTTTGGCTTCCCTGCATCCTGTCTTGCCCAGTCCCAGCCACCACTGCCACCCTGCATTCTGAAAAATGGGGGAGCCAACTCCCTGCAGCCAACTTGCCATAGTCAACTCACCACAGCCAACTCACTATCGGACAACTCCTCATGGCCAACTCGCCGCAAGACAACTCATCGCAGGACAATTTAACAATTCGATTTAATTATTTAAAATAAATAAACAAATATTTTAATTTTTGTCATTCACATTTCATTCTGTCCCTCCTTTTGCATCCTTTCTTTAACGATTCTATTCCACCATTTCTTTGATATTAGTGTATCTCTTTTCCTACAGAAAACTGTCCTGCGGTGAGTTGACTGTGACGAGTTGTTCTATGGTAAGTTGTTTGTGGCAAGTTGGCTGCAGAAAATTGTCATAGATCCCTGCCAGCCTGGGTAACAAGATGGCAGAGCTGAGCTGGGGCAGTGGGACACAGAGTGGCACAAAAGGGCACTGATGGTGTGTGTGTGTGTGTGGGGGGAGATAGGTGGGCAGGGCGGGGGAGTTGCGGCGCCCCCTGTGGACATAAGAATGGGCAGGTGGCCAAGTGGCCACATTTTGATTGTTTGGACATATGGGCATTATAATGGCTGTAACTTCGGGCACAGGTTGTAATTCCCTTCATTCAGTACGGTAGTAACTTAGGTTGCTGAATGAATGATTGTAAGTAGAGCACTACCTGTAAATTGAATGAATGAATAAATAAATAATCAAGTGTTCAAGCTGCTTTTAGTTAATTTACAACCATAAACATAAACAGGTAGGTCTCAGAATTCTCCCAGGGCACTTTAAGATTCTAAGGGTGAATGGTCTATTTTAATTTATCAGTGCAATTTACTATCAATGTGTATGCTGGATTCCTTTCTAGTATTTGTTGCCAACTGCCTTTGGCATAGCTACAGTATATTAGTTTGAGGACATTTTAAAATGTGGCTATAGATCTACACAGGAGGTGAATTGAGGTTTTATGGATCAGCCAGCAGCGTTATTGAGCACCTTCCATTGTGCCAGGTCACAAAGATTTGAAGACAAAGCAAATGATATGATAGCCACAAGATAGAAAGATTGGGATTTAGGGATCCACATGGAGATAAAGAAACATCTAGTAATGTCCCATGTATGCATCCCTTAAAGGGGTCTCTAGGAACCGTAGGTAGCAGTGATGGAGTTTAGCATTTCACTAATTATAATTTTCCGTATTCTCTAGAGGAAGCTATGACAGATATAGTGAATTATAAAGAAGTTGACATTTACTCTGTATAGTTTGGTAAGTGCTACTAGTGACTGCAGATTGAAAATACCCACCAGCAACTAAGCTAAGTCATTTTTCATTTCTTTGTTTTTATTCTATTTATGTCACTTTATTGATATTGGCCACCAAATTGTATCATTTTCTGAAGGACCTTCAAAGGGAAACTTGGCAGTAGCACTCTTCTTATCTCTCCCCAGGATGACCTTTAAATGACATTACATTATGTGGTTTAATTTTTTTTACTACCGGTTCCGTGGGTGTGGCTTGGAGGACATGGCAGGGGAAGGATACTGTAAAATCTCCAGTCAGAGGTGGTATTTGCCGGTTCTCTGGACTACTCAAAATTTTCACTACCGGTTCTCCAGAACTGGTCAGAACCTGCTGAATATCACCTCTGTCTAGTATGTTCTGGCGGGAGTAATTAGATTGCATCCATAAAGTGGAATACTATAGAAGTAATGGCAGCAAAGAAAAAAAAAATTAGTGCTGCTATGCACTCCTTTGCATAATTTTGCAGCAAGCATCTGAGGAAGCATCTCACCCCAATGGGATTAGTCCACCTCACTCCGACCACTGAAAGAGACCTACTAAGAGGCCCTCCTCATGTACTGAGGAATTCCATTGGACAGGGTGAAAGAAAAGAGACTTTTCAGCGGTGGTCCCAACCTTGTGGAATACGGTATAACTGGAGGAGAGGATTGCTCCCATCCTTTTGGCCTTCTGGAAGGGTATTAAAACTTGATTTTGGAGGTTGGCTTGGGGCCCTGAAAGCAGTGCTTGCTGCTGAAGGGGTTTTTCGAGGTAAAAAGACCTTGTTCCTGTACTGTCTCTTGGTTTTAATCTTTTTCATAGTTTTAAAATTCTAAATTGCTTTTTTATTTATCTTTTTATGATCTGTAACCTGCCTGGAGTTCACTTATTGGGGAGATGGGCGGCATATCAATTTACATAAATACATAAAACTTAATAGATCTTGTGCTGAAAGCTACCCAGCGAGAACTTTCAGTCAAATCCTGGTATGCGTTAGGCCTCATGATCATGGTGAACTTTAACTATGATCGGCATACTGAATACAGGACAGAGAGAGACCTATGATAAAACCAAAGACTTCTTCAAATGCAATTACCTTTGCAAGTCCTTCAAGCAGAACTTAAGCTTCTTCTAATTCAGCATGTCTTTTCTTCAATAGGCGGGTTTAAATTTCTAAACATACTCATTTTACTTGGGTAGTCAGTAGAGGGGTAACACTTACTCAGAATCTGGTGACAGCTCGGAAATGCTGTGGGATGTTGCAGACCGAGGTGGTGAAGTGCATGGCATGGAAGGTGTAGAAGATGCCTGTGCCACAGAAGGGGTGGGGGTAGTCTGTGGGCCTGAGGGAGTACTGGATGACTGCACTGATGACAAAGCCGAAGAGTTAAAAGAGGCTAGGATAGAAGAAAGGATGTCTAATTGTTCTGTGGAAGGGTGACGGCTAGGGATTGCTTCTAGATTTTCTCTAGAAGATGGTCTTCTGGAGAGAAGTTCAAGATTTTCTCTAGATGGTTGCTGCCTAGAAAGAGGCTCAATATTTTCCCAAGGATCCTGCCTGCCAGGCACTATGTCCAGATGCTCTCTTGAAGTATGCCTAGCTGATGTTAGTTGGTCCCTTGAAGGTTGCCCTCTAAAAAGCAGATCCAACTGTTCTCGAGAAGTATCTCGGGCTGGCAAGGTGTCCATTCGATCTCTAGAGGCCTGCCTAAGGGGCATTGTATTAAGCCATTCTCTAGAGATTTCTCTTACTGCTCCACCGCAGTCTAGCTGTTCTCGTGACCCAAATCTACAGGGTAAAGAATCCAGATGGTCTCTAGATGTCTGCCTTCTGGGTAGAGTGTTCCTGTGATCTCTTGGATCACGTTCAGTAGCTATTTCACCTACTTTTTCTCTAGACCCATGCCTGCTGGGTATGCTTGCAAGGTGTTCTCTAGATCCATGTTGATCGAGGATTGTGTCCAGGGGCTCCCTTGACCCAGGCCTGTTCATAATGGCATCCAATTGTTCCCGGGACCTGTGCCTGCTTGCCATATTTTCTAGGCATTCTCCAGAGGTGTTTCTGCTCAGCTGATCTCTGGATATCTGCCTTCTCATCAACAGATCAAGCTGCTCCCGGGACGAGTAACGACTTGCTGGCTGTGAGAGGCTGCCTGTTCCTGAATAGATTCTGCCATAAGAAGCAGCCGGGACTGCCCTGTGGCCCAAGGTGGAGGTTTTGTACCAGGAAAGATCATTGGTCATTCTGCCCACAGATGAAAGGCCTTGCAAAGCTGGAGGGTACTGGAGGCGATTCTTCAGGATGCCTACATAACAGAGTAGAAGAAAGTGAGAAGTTGAAGGCCCTCTCCCCTTGGAATTATTTCCAGGTTTTTTTTGTGTGTGTTGATGTGATACACATCCTTGCAACAACTCTTTCTCTCCCATTTCTGTAACAGCACTCTTTTCCTCCTTATTCTGGATCAACTTTAGTTTGAAATGCAAACATGTTTTTCACTGATTTATATTTCTCCCTCCCCCTCCTCCTCTTTCTCTCTTTCTGCTTTGCCCAATCCTTGACACCACTGTCAGTCCCACTAACTTTTTCTGATTCTTGTTATCAGGCTCAACCTTGTTTGGAACAGTTGCTTTTCCCAAGCAGTCCAGTTCTCTCGTCCATTCAAACCCTTCTTTAAGACCTCCCGATTCAAACCAATATCTATTCCTTTGCTTCTTTTCCTTAAAAAAAAACAAAGGTGAAGGAGGAAGGAAGGGAAGGGAAAGGATAGGATTCATTCAGGGGTGGGATTCGATTGTTTTTACTACCGGTTCTGTGGGCGTGGCTTGGTGGGCGTGGCAGGGGAAGGATATTGTAAAATCTCCAGTTAGAGGTGGGACTTTGCGAACTACGCAAAATTTTCGCTACTGGTTCTCCAGAACTGGTCAGAACCTGTTGAATACCCACCTCTGGATTCATTGAGGATTTTACTCCACTAGTCATTTCTGACTATAGGGGATGGCACTCGTCTCCCACTGAAGGTGAAAAGGGAAAAAACAATAAACCTACCCTGATTTCTTCCCACGACCTGATGAATAAATGACTGTTGCTGTTTTGCTTTAGTATCTCAGTAAACATAAAACTATTTATTCAGCCATTTTACATGCAAAAACATGCTTTTTTTTTTTAAAAAAAACCAGAGCAAATATTTATTAAGGAAGGAAGGAAGGAAGGAAGGAAGGAAGGAAGGAGGGAGGGAGGGAGGGAGGGAGGGAGGGAGGGAAGGAAGGAAGGGACAGTAACATGATGATTCAGATTCTAGATTCTAGCAACTTGACATAAGAAATTTAAGAAAGCAAGACAAAGTGGGGAGAATCTTGGTGGCTATTTCCATATCTGAGAAAACGTTATTCTGGAGCTTCAAGCTATAAGGAAGAGTGTTTTTCACAATAATGCAGTTCAGAATTAAAGCTCATATACCAACTGGTGGCCGTATCCATTTCTGGGGAGGTACCAGTATGGACTTTCCCTTAAGTAAAACTAATGTGCCAGTGGATCTGAAGGGCTGATGGAGTGCCATCTGTTCTGCATCCATGGGCCCCTGAGAAGGGGAATATCTAAGCATTATTCTGCAAGACCCCAAGTGACTACAGGTAGTCCTTATTTAGTAAATTTTGTTTATTAACAGTGATGAAAAAGTAATTTTCCAACCAATCCTCACATTTATGACCTTTACAGTTCTTCAAAGGAAAGCCGAAATAAGATGATAAGTATAGCCGTGGTTTTATTTAGCAACAATCTTGCTTAATGACTGAATTGTCGATCCTGACTGTGATCACTAAATGAGGACTACCTATATCATGGAAATCTATCTCTTATATGAATGCTGTTTTCAGCCACTCCTTCCGCATTTGAAGCAATGACTGCAAATGTGGAGAAACAAAACAACACTCTATGGAGCCTCTGGTGCTGGAGTTCTGAACATATTCACTGGCACATTGTTATATGCTATCAAATGTAAATAAACAATGGTGCTTCAAATAATTGTCTTGGGAAGCACCACTTCCATGCTGGGAGGGGTGTAGGAGATCCTGTGTGTTCTGTCTTGTTTTCCTAGGCCTGGAGGTGTTTCCTGGATGTCAGGAAAGAGCCTGGAGTAATGTTCTTTTCAATTTCCACCTGTTGTCTTATGCCACCTATGGTATTTGCTGTGAGAAGGGCATTTGTCTCCTATGCTGTTGCTTTTCTTCCTTTGTTTGGTTCTGAAGGATACTTTCTTCTCACAGACCTTCTTGGCAGGAAGATTGGTAGGAGGCTATTAGCCTGAAGGGAGTGGCCATGCTGAGACAGATAATGGGGCTAGGGTTGACCTCAATTAAGTAGATGATTATACAACTTGTGGGAAATGGAAGATTGCCAGAAGGAAGGGAAACATCAGGGACAAGCACCTCAAGAGAGAAGCTTGTACATTTTTATGCAAGTCATGACTTGGATTCCATACCATTTATCATTTCCTCCCTTTGCCCTCATTGCTGTCTGCTCCATGAATGGGGGAAAGGCTGCTGAAAACTTGTCAGTGTTTACCTGGTCCAACGGCTCATGGGATATCATGCATTGTCTGGAGAAATGGATGGGGGTTCTGCATTCCAAAAATAGTAACTTGTTACTCTGTTGATGAATGACTGATAGTTGTTATTGAGCTGTATTGTGTAGACAGGTTCCTTGCCCACACATTGACAGCCAGCATACCTGCAGTGATGGTCACTGCTTCAAAATGATAGGCATGATCAGGTGACTGAGGGGCCACCCCTTTTTACCTGAAAGTGACTGCCTACCTTAAAATTATCCTGCAAACAGCCATGTAAAATAGAGAGAGTAACCCCAAATGAATTGTAGGCTGATTGTGCTTTAAGTCATCTCACCTTTTCTCTGCCGTTGGGTCTGAGTGAGAGAGTTCTCATCCCCACTGGTTAAAGCCAAGTCTGGCTGGTTATTGTTGGCCGTATCCTTATTAACATCAAATCCAAGCTTCCTCTCGGAGCCCCATTTCTGGAGAGAACAGGGGTGGACCTCACATTCTCCCAGTGCTGGCCAATAGGACATCAGATCATTACCATCCACATCTAGGGAAGAACATTTCAGATATACAGAGGGAGAGCGCAGGACATCTCATAAATCAATACAACACTTTGCCACAGTATACATATGCTCATTCTTGAGTTGATCAAATTGCTTTCAATGCATGGAGTGAAGTTACTAGGACCGTGGCACACTAACATATTATGCTTCAGAATTACTAATTGCCCAACTGTATATTTCACACTTATACTACAAATAATATACTGGACATCACCTTGAGAATTTCTACAATTTTTTATGAATTGGAAGGGACTTTCTATATGCAGAGGAACCATAAATTAATCGAGTTTATTGGAATAGAGACTTATATTTTACTTTACAATAAAATGGAGTTCAAAACGATTCGCTTGTGAAAAATATACTTATTTATTTTTATCTCATTTCCAATATATATTATATATTTTAATACATATACTCTTCGCCAATCAGTTGTGAAAGTCATCTTTCTTTCTAATTCTCATGTAATATTTTGCAAACGGGTGGGATAGTGGGAAGGATGCCTCCTGCAGCACCCTGCCAGCTGAAAACAGGCCACGTGGCTCATTTTTGGGCCGTTTTTCGGCTGTTTCTGGCACGTTTTGGCCTATTTGGGGGCTGTTTTCAGCCTATTTTGGGCCCATTTTAGCCTATTTTGGGCCCATTTTTCAGCCCGTTTTCAGCCTGTTTTTCAGCCGTTTACAACCCAGTTTGGGCCCATTTTGAGCCCATTTTTCAGCTTGGTTTTGGCCCAGTTTTGGCCAGCAGAGTGCTGCAGGAGGCCATGGAGGGTGAAAACGAGGGGCAGGGGGCTGCACATGGCCCATTTTAGCCACCAGAGTCACTGCAGGCCGCCCCCACAGGCCGGATCCCACCTGCAGGCCTTGACTTTGATGCCCCTGCTCTAGACTGACATAGTATTAATATTCACAGAATTGTAAACAGAATGATTAAAAAAAGACAAAGAAGCAAATGTGATCTTCAATCATATTCCAAAATTTTGGAACCTATCAAAGTATGAATTTTTTTGCATTTATTGTACTTGTGCAGCAGCAGCTAAAAAAGATGTTTGCTCCAGTGGAAAGACTATAATGTACCTGGTTGGAATACTTATTTACTTCTACTATATATGAGCTGGCTTCCTATCAATGCTCTGGGAAATACGATCAATGGGATTCCATTTGTCTGAGATTTAATTGGCTGTTTAAGACGTGATGCTATTGTACTATTTACTTAATAGTTCTAACATTGATCTTTTCATTTCATTTTTTATGTTTCTTCCTTTGCTTTTTGCTTTGCATTTTTGTTTTCTGATTTATCATAAATATGCTGTGTTACTGCTTTCCCTTTTCTTTTGCTAATAGCTGAAAAAGTGCACATGCGCACACATATAAACATACAATTATACATATATATGTGTGTATATATATGCATATACACACACATACACACATACTTGTGTGTATTGTTTTTATTGTAAAATATAGAGATAAAATGTAAAAGCCTCATACAACATAACGAAGTGAAATCTAGATGAACAAAGCACAGCTCCTGAGTTCATACACCATGCTATATCTGAACAGGATGATTGCAACAAGAAGCTAAAGCAGGAGGTGAATTCCCACAGTCAAGTGAACCTTGACCTTCCTACTCTGACGTTAGCTATGCTAGCATGTTGTCTCAACCCAGCCTCTGGTCATCCTGAGCCCCCCTCCCTCCCACCCCTTCAACCCCTCATGTTCTCAGTGTCCTGGGACCTGCCTTTTGGTGCAGTGTCACTAGGGTTGGTGAGGAGCCTCTCACTGTGGGCTGCCCTTTTGAACGGACGCTGGAATCTGCTCCGGAGATGCACATTTTCCTCACTCTCTGAAGAGGGAATTGAGAGGCTGCGTTCTTCATCCAGGGAGAGGTCACTGTCTGAATCAGAGTCTTGATCTGGATAAGATCGGGGATATTTGAAGAGGGGGAAGAAGATTAAGGAGGAACAGCTTCCCAGGATATGAATCACTCAAAAGTTAAATAGCTTGCAAAATTGAAAGGAGGGTTGACCTTATCATCTACATTGCAATCAGCATTCAAAATCACAACGCATGTCATCAACCACATTGATGCCAAGTCAAGTCAGTGTGCCAACAAGCTGTTTCAATAAGAAAGTCCTGGTTAGGCCTGTCCCTAAGACCTGTCCTTCCTTAGGAAAACCTGCAGATACTCACAGACTTTGGTATCAGAAATATTTGATAGACAGCATCACTGATATTTCTTGTCAAGTTGAGACCTCTGCTTTAGATCCAGGGTTGAGAGCCTTCTCTTTTATACCCATTAAAAGCTATCCTTACCTGGACCTGCATCACGATGGAACATGGCTACGTCAAGGTCAGTGGGGCCAGCATGGTTGAGCAAATTGTGATCCAGAGCCGAGCCTTGATGTGCTATCATGTTCTCTCTGAAACTCATAACACAGAACATACATAGATCCATTGAGAGCTGGCAAAACCCAAAATCCCAGGCACTTCTGAGGAGTTTCAAAGCCAGAATCTATTCCAAGCCCTGAAAAACTGCTGTGCTTTAGATAAATACTTATCTGATAAATTCAAAGCCAGCAGCTACCAATCAGTCAGAACAGGGAAGGCTGAGGAAGCAAAAACAATCTCGTGCTGCATAACAGCAAAGGAAGCTGATATCTAGCACCAATGACTCTGTTGTTCTTCACGAATAGGCACTGTAATGCATCACCTGTTGGTGGCTTAGCAATAGCAGTAGCACTTAGACTTATATACTGCTTCACAGTGCTTTACAGCCCTCTCTAAGTAGTTTATAGAGTCAGCCAACAATCTAGGTTCTCATTTTACCCACCTCAGAAGGATGGAAGGCTGAGTCAACCTTGAGCCTGGTGAGATTTGAACTGTTGAACTGCTGGCAACAGGCAGCCAGCAGAAGTAGCCTGCAGTACTGCACTCTAACCACTGCACCACCATAGCTCTTACTTGCTTCCTCCTTCTGAACTCTCACCCTGCCCTTTTGGGGAAGGTTGGAGGTAGGCAGACAATTAAGCCATATTTTAAGTACATATGTATCTTCTTTTAGTTTACATTATAACACAGGGCATATCATAATACAACCCACACAAATCCCATTAGTAGAACAACAGTATCTTTGTCAGTTTTCAAATGACCATGAGTAAAAAGATTTACGGTGTATGGTTCAATTGTAATAATACTCATGTGTTTTCTTTCTGGAGAAACGTTTTTTTCCAAAGAAGGGGAAAGGGAAAAGAACCTGATTGATGTCAAATAAAAGTCAAGGGACACAGAGAATTTGCAGAGCCAAATTCTCCAAATTAGTGGTTAGAAAGATCTATATAGGGTATGGTAAGGCATTCTCCTGCATTCCAATCCTAAATTGTTTAGGGATTCACAGGTAAATGTCAAATATGTAAATGTGACATATTTGTAAAAATGGATTAGATGTGATGATTGATTTAAAGGCGGATTTGACATAATCATGATCATAAAGCTACCTATGGTTACAGAGGAGTAAATTGGCTTGCTACCTCCAGGGGCTACCTGACATTTTGTATAAATTGATGAGAAACGACAACAGGAAAAGGCTGACTCTCTGCTTATTAGTTTCCAAAGCTACCTGACTGGTTGGTGCGGGGAAGTGAGATGATTCAGATATGCTCATACTGTATTTATTATCTTTTAAAGAGTGAAAATACATGTGAATTGGGGGTGGGGTGGGGTGGAGAAGTTTTTTTTTAAAGCCATTGGGTCAAAATCACAATGTTTACTTCTTTGTACACTTCATCTCCCTCTGTCAACATCCATTTTGTATACCCACTAGGCCTCAATGAAATTCTAGCTGAGCATATATTGGGGAATGGAGGGAAGAACAATCAATGGGGCTCATAATGATGAGATTGGTGCATTATTACCTAAGTGGCTTTCAAAACCCTGCTCACATGCAGAATACAATATTTAAGGCCGAGGAGTCTGCTATGGACTCCAGAAGAAATGGTACCCTTACTAAGCCACAGACAATTCTCCTTAGATAAATTTATGTATTTACTTATTAAAACTTATCCCACCTTTCCATATGAAAAAACAACTAACCCAAAGCATGTATTCGGACATGCTGTGGAGAAGCTTCCTACCTGAGGTAGCCCCGCTGGCTAGAATGAGTACGGCCTGAGCGCACACTGCTAACAGACGAGATTGTGGAGGCTCCCAGAGTGATACGAATAAGGCCACTCTCCTCAAATAGTGCTGTGTTGTTGTAGGCATTGTGGCCCTGACATGGAAGAAGAACATAGGAAAGCAACAAGAGGGATCTATTTGACTCTCTGTATATTAAGGAGACAACCTATCTTGAGGACCAGCTTAAACAGTAGGAAGAAGACTTGAGTCAGTCAAGAATATCAAATCACTGGTCTATAATAATGAAGCAAACAAATACAATAAAGTGTAAAGAATAAATCAAGTGAATAAACAAGGCACTGCTTAAGGACTTTTAAGGGGAAAAGTGTATTTGAATGGGGAGACTTAGGACAAAGGAACCTCTTTTTATCTCCACCCAGTCCATACCTGGCCACTTCTGGGGGCTTCTTCGCCTTTCTTAGCCAGGCAAGCCCCTTTCCAGGCTTCCAGGAACTCCTTGTTCACTGCACAGAATAGAATCAGTGTTGCCAAACCCTGCAGAAAAAAGAGAGAGAGAGACCCACTCTGGATCATGGGAGATACTTCCAGATAGCAGCCTCCACTGGATTAGCAAGCAAGTATGCTTCTTGTCTATGGGAAATCTCAGTCATCTAGGTCATGGTTGTCCCAAAGGTGCTTTTTCAAGTGCCTTCTTGGATGAGAAGCAAAATGTCTTCAAGGAAAAAACAGAAAGTCCAGTTGCCTCTTGAAAAACCACCTTTGGGACAAGTATACTTCTCCCCACCTCTAAATAGATTTCGTTGGATAGGAAAACATTCAGGAAATACATGGGAGAAGAAGACATGAATTTTTTGGTAAATAAAATAGTAATCAACCTAAACCACTAACTTAAAGCATCCAGATCAGATGACCTATATCACCAGGAATACCTGTGGCAGTCATTCTCCAGAATCTCAGGCCAGGATTAAAACTTAGCTCAGCCTTCCAGCCAATACCATTCATGAGATACAGGATGTGATGACCCAGGGTGTGATACAAATTAAACACAGTCACAAAAAAACAGGAGAAGCCCCTTTTATTCCTTCACGTTGCTTCCAAGTTCCAAATATCCTTGACTGGTGACAAAAAACTCCCACACAAGCAGTTACAAGAAGGAGGAAATACCATTTAAATTATAAAGAGTAAAAAACAACACAAACCAGGCAAGATAAGGGCTTGAAGATGTCCACAGATATCAGAAGACACACTGGGAAGGACGCTAAACTCAGAGAGGAACAATAAACTAGAGATATTTCCATGCTTTGTTTCCAGCACTCGCCCATACGCATGTCTGTTCTCTTACCCAGTTGTCACAGCTGCAGCCCATGAAGAGGATCAAGGCCCTCTCCTCCCCAATAGACCACATCTCTCCCATATCCTCTCCTCCCTGTATGCCCTAGGATGGAGAGGGGATGGGCCTGGATCTTCCTCTGACTGCACAGCCAGCCTCTGCCCTTCCCCAGCCTCCTCCACAACCTCTGGAGCCACACTTCCACTCCCTGTCAGCTGTTCCTCCTCTCCCTCAGAGTCAGTCTCCACCAGGGGCATGACAGAGGTGTAGATTAACAAAACTGATCATCTAGCATCCTTTTTTAATGAATGTGACACTCAAAATACTTCTTCCCTATGATATAACCCTCATATAGGAATAAGAAAACCTGTAGCCCTCCAAGGCTTGTTGAATGCTTAGCAGTCAAAGGTTAGCATAGACAATGGTGAGAAATGCTGAATTTTGTAATTTGTCAGTTTCCAGAGGGCACCTTCTCATCCCATCCCATGTGTTTAAGCTGTGTTATTCTTAAATTCTGTAGCCAGAAGAAATGTAATGATTTATTTTCCACTAGAGGGAGAAATTGTCTTATTTATGAACAATACACCAGAAAAAAAATCAGAATAGAAGCATCTTAATCTACTGTATACCTGTAGCACACTCAGTAGAGTCAAAGAAAGTCTTAATAAATTAGCAAATGAACAGTACTGAAACAAATAGGCAGCCAGTTACCATTAAGTAACTTACTGTAAACTCAGTATTTACACCAATAAAAGCATAACATGCATGCTAAAAAATAAGGTAAATATAAAAAGCAAATAAAACAAATAAAAATGCAATAAACATGCAGATGAATGCAAATGATCCCCAAATATCCTCTGAAATACTTTGGCTTTGAATGATTTCTGGAATGTCAATAAAGAAGGTGCTAATCTAGTTTCAAGAGGGAAGATATTCAGAATATGGGGACTGCCCCTGCAAAGCATTGTCTATTTATCTCTAGAGGACTTTTTCTGGGGTACATGTAAGAGGTGGGTTGTATAAGTCACCTCTATGGGGAGAAAGAGGTCCTGCAAGTAGCCAGGTGCCAAACCACATAGGGTTTTATAGATTAAACTCAGAACTTTGAGCTATACCAGAAATATACTGACAACCAATGCAGTGACTCTACAGTACAAAATAGGTGTTATATGATTATGGTGACTCTGGTCTAGCAACATACAAGTCACTGCATTTTGGGCCAATTGGAGTTTGGAGTGAACTTCAGAGACAGCCCTCATATATTCAGTAGAGTGCAGTGCAGTCACTGTTTGCCAGGGCTTTCCCTGGTGCAGCAGCTGAAGTTGGAAAAAGTCCTCTTGACCACAGCTTTCACTTGCCTATTTAGCAATAGCTGTGAATGCAGAATGAAACCCAAATTATGGACTCCCCTTTTCATAACCAGAAGTTATAACCGGAACTGATAGAAAGTCCTTCTACATGAACGTTGCCTTGCATCCTCATCAGCATTCAGATATAACGTCAAGATTTCTAAAGCGTTTTCAGCATATTATGGGATGAAGATGTAACACTGTGTATTATCAGTGTCTTGATGATGTCTTCCCTAAATCAACAGATGACCCCTCCCAGCAATCTCATATAGATGCTAAGCAGGAGAAGAATGAAGAAAGAGTCCATATGTGAACAACCCTTGGGCTGATATTTCTTTGCTACCAGCTGGAATTCTGTCCTCTAAGGAAGACGTGGGCCCACTGAAGTACAGTGCCCCCAGCTCCAAGGTTTCACAGGATATTATGGTTGACAGTGTCAAATATTGCTGAGAAATCTAAAAGGATTGAAAAGGATGCACTCCCTCAAACCAGAACCTAACAAATATAATCAACTACAACACTGACCAATGTCATAGCCACCCCTTGCTTGAGTCTGAATCTTGACTGATCCAGCCCAAATAATCTGCTTCAAGAGTGTTCTAAATCTGGCTTTCCACTAAGAGCAGGTTGGAGACCAGACCAGAATTGTTCAAAATTAGTGGATCCTTGGAGTGAGGGTTCCACCCACACACTCAAGGAAGGTGGCAAATCGTCATCCTTCAAAGAGTGTTGGCCACTTTGGGGGCCCCACCCATAACATTCCTGCAGGGTACCTTAAAGGAGTCATGAGAACTTGAATCAAGTTTTTCAGTGGCAGACATAATGCTGGAAAGCACACATGATACGCCATAGGCTGAAAGGAGTTTCAGACAACATTGCAACACCAGATTCTGTCAATGAAGAGCCGATGTTAAGTGACCGTGAGCAATTTTATCAGCACAATATAGTCTCAGTGACCTGGCTGCAGCTCTTTCCAGCCATCTTTCCCTAATAGGGAATGGGCAACCCTAAACAAGGCCACTGGATGCAATCCACAGATGCAATAAAGCATCCGCCTTCCGTCTTTCCTATTGACACGGTGCAAGTTCAAGCATGAATTCATACCCACATTCAGTCAAATTCACTCTTCATTTCACCCCCTCCCCCTCACTGGCTTCTGCTATTTCATCTCTTAAGAGATTCTCCATTACTTTTTAAAAATATATAGAGATTTTATTCTTCCCTTCCTCTTCACTTAATCCTTATTTTCTCTTTTTAATGATAATTAAATACTGTATATTCAGCATTTTTGTTCCAGTGGACAGACTATCACCCTTCATCACTCCATTTGCTATTTGATTGGTGCTCGTGGTCTAATGATACTTATGAAACAAACAAAAAAATATTGTACTCCTTGCTGTCTTCTGCAGGTATCCAGCTCAGTTTGAAAATTGGTTATATTGTAGACCGTTAGCATAGAAAAATGGAACAATCAGCCTAGCTCAGCACAGAAGACTACCCATGAAAACATGCAGGGAGATTTGCAGACACAGTGCCTTGGATCCAGCAATATGTCAATATCTTTAGCATAACTGAAGGAGAAATGTTTCTTAGACAGCAGCTTCAAGGTTTGCCGAGGATTTAACTTGCTCTGCAGGACAGTTGCCAGCAGAACAGAGAAAACCTTCCTCTCTGACGGCTCCATAGTTTTCACCCAACCACCAACCTAGTTCAGAGAGTTACCTGAAGACTGCAGAGGACAGTGTAGAGGTAGTGGAAAGCCAGGACACTGTTGTTGATAGCCAAGAGACCAAAGAGCCAAGCAGTGCTAATAACTAGAAGCAGAACGAAGGAGCTTCGCATCATCATGCTGGAGACAGACAGAGAGAAAGAACCCCCCAGAGAGGCAGACATGGACGTTAGAATATGCGGTTAAACTACAGGTTGAGACACTGTTGCAGAACTATCAGTAGTGTTAGCCCACTCATCATAGTTCAGACACGGACCCATAAAACACACCAGGAAATGGCCCCAACTTATATATGGCTCAAGCAATAAGCGAGCAGTGATAAGACTCACACTTCCTGCCTCCAGCAACATCCTTTTTGGAGAGGCAGAGGACATCTGGAAGACTGGAAAGGAGAATATAGCAAGACTGACAGCAGGCAAAGTGTTTTTATTGTTAATTAGAAGAGGAGAAACACTTATGGAGAAGGTGAACATTGATGAACAAATGTTTGCAACAAAGGTTAAGCTGCAGAGCAAGCTTTTGCCTCAGCAGATCATTGTAATTAGTTAATACTCACAGCACAGCTTTCTTCTTGGCTTCCTTTTGTCCTGGTGAGCACAGCATCTTTGCCACCAGAAGAAACATAACCCCATTCATCTGGAAACAAACTCAGCGGTTAGTGACAGTAGTTTTGGCACTAAGCAAAACAGATTGCTCACCAACTTTATCCTCCCTATGCCATTCCCCTCCAGACACACCTTCCTTGGAAGGGTGACTATCTGGTATAGCTAACATGAACAGGCCCCTGAATACAAGCCTTCTGCGCACTAATTCCTTTCTAGAATTGCGATAGTCCCTCAAAAAGTGCAGAAAGTATAACAGATGCGTCCCCCAGCCCCTCCAAAAGATTCATTAATGCCAGTCTCCAGGAGTAGCATGAGAGAGATGCTAAAAGGAAAATAAAGACAAAGTGGTAGAAAGTAGAAAAAAAGAGTATAGTGTAAAAGTCCACGTAGCCATGGCAAGGAAAGGAAGCATGGGGGTGGCAAATCAGGGAGCAGATAGGCTGAGGATGGAAAAGGAAGGGCTTCAGCCTAGCATCCTGGCTAAGCAAATGGACACTTTTACATGGCTATTCAGGAGTTTTGCAAAACAGATTTAATATAAATCAATCACAAGACGTGCTTACCAGAACGACAAGAGCTATGGGCCCTGCAAAACTCCAAATCAGTTTGTCATGGATGGAAATCCAGCAGAAATCTGGGTTCCCATAGCCTTCTGGATCCAAACCAACTGATAATCCTGATTAAAAGAAAAGATAAAGTCTATACTACAATTTTCATGCCCCTGATCAGGGTAGGTTGCATATCCCTCTGGAAATGCTCCTTCTCCCCCCCCCCCACACCTTGGATTTTCTTGGTTCTGATGAAGAAAAACCTGGAATGTTGCAAGCAGAACTAGTTTTACTTAAGGTTTAATTCATCTGCATAGTTACTGAGAATCCTTGTTTGTGACATTGTTCCTAATCACCTCATAAAAGTAAACTGGATTTTGAACTGTGAAAGTTGAGAATACAATAACGAATCTTGGCATATTTTAAGGACTGGCAATCAATAAAATGTAATTTGGGCATTAAGGATTATATGCAGTTTTCCCTAAATTTGGACAAATTTCCAGCTGCACCAACACTCTCTCCCTCCCTCCCCACTCTCTCTCACTCATACACTCATGTACACACACAAACACACACACTACAATTGATGTCATCTTCAACCAACTATGCTGGCTGGGAGGGTAATTAGGAGGGCAGCCCAATATATCGTGACAGCAGAAGCGGGATGGGAAACCGCAGCTTTACACACTATGCAGGTTTAATGTATCTACTGCAGGACCTGTACTGCCTTTCTGAATCACCCTTGTCTAATCCAGTGTTGGGACTGTAGCTACCAATTTTCCAGAATAGAATTTTGAGGATTACTAGATGAGGCGTGGCCTGGGGCTCATCGTTTCAGAAATATTTCCTTACCAGATTTCTCAATACCTTCAACAGTGGCAGAGCTTCTAATGCACTTTAAAAGTTCTTAAAAATTCAGTTGAAAGCAAGCCCATGTTGAACTGTATAGCACAGTCATTGACCATAGAACAGGAAATATTTTTATGACATTTTGTATTAAGTCATAACATGCTTTACCATAATATTATTCATAAAACTTTTTATAAAATTTGCCAAATTTCAATTCCACAGGAGTCACGGGTCCTGGATTTTGCACACATTCTGTTTGTTAACCCTTTTGAGGTATCTTGGTTAAAAAAAAATTGCCCTGCGATGCACCTTTTCACCAATTTAACATAATCACATATGTGTAACGATCACATTTTTCCATGATATCACCACGAACATCATCTTTTGGGCATCATCACAGCTAGCTGCAGAGACTGCTGGATACTGAATGAGGATTTCAAAATATCAGATAAATATCAGACACAAGAGCTGTAGTAGCCTAGAGATCTGTGGAGCGTGCTAGAGAAAAACTGTTTTGTTTCAAGCACATCTGCACTTACCAGTGATTATGGCGGGGACCCCCCAGCCAATGGCATAATAGAACCTCATAGCTCCATAGTTAATGTTGCGAGCTTCAGTTTGCATGCGGTAAATATGAAGGCCTTGCACAAAGAGCCAAGCGAAAGTAGAGAGAAAGAAGTAGTGCAACAGGATAGCGATCACAGTGCAGAAGAACTGAAAAAGTAAAACCAACATCATCCAAATAAAGTCAACTAAACATTTTGCTTCTAGATGACTAATTTGTTCTGAATTTAATATTGCAAAATGCTTTTCCTAAATTCTTCTTTGAGTTCACGGGTGGTGGGTCTGTCAGATTACAGTGCCACATTCCCTCTGATCTAAATGGTTTTATTGACATGATTACCACTGGTGCACAGAGTGTGATGTTTGGTATTGACATCTACAGAGGAGAATCAGGTGCAAGAGTCATTTCTGGGGAGTATAAATTTGCTAAAATAATAATCAATAAAATGATCAGACATGTATAGTGACTTACATCCTTGTGTCAAACATCAAACTGCAAGTATATAATCACAACATTTATTCATGATATCACCATGAACATCATATTTTATCACAGCTAGCAGCAGAGTGTGCTGGATACTGAATGAAGATTTCAAAATATCAGATAAAACTGAATGTCTTATATCCACAATCTGGGAATGTGTTGACAGATTTATGTAGACATTTCAATATATGAGCAATTTGTTTAATTAGCATAAGTGCTGGTCTAGTCCCCAACTCACTCATTTTATAACCCCGATTTCCTACTTTTCAAGTTCTGGGAGATGAGGTCTTCTTAGGCCTACTGTTTTCCATCCAATGAAGCTCCCATTTGCTTCCTAATACGTTACCCACCAGGGCTCTTGCTTCTCTTCTTTGTTCCATCTCACCTGATTTTCAGTACGATTGATACCGAAGAGGAACAGCAACTCAGAGAAGAAGAGAGTGACAGAAATATTGCAATGGATTCCCCGAGTATTGGACTTGAGTCCTTTCAGGCATATCAGAAAGAAGAAGGTCAGCAGCAGACATAGAAGAGAAAGAGATGTCAAGGAATAAGTCACAATGGCCAGCGTCTCCAAGTCACCTTCCAGTTGCTGTAAGGAAAAACCAAACACAAGAGGATAAGTCAGGTTGCTTGTTGGCATCATAGATGTCTATTACACCAACGTCTTAAAATCATTATTCCATCATCACAATGAAAAAAACATCCCATCAAACCCATTAAAAATAAACCCCTGCTTCTTTCAAGTCAGGTTTGACTACTGGTAAGTTTGTGGACACCTCCATGTTGTTTGCTTGGCAATGATATAGCAGTTGTTTGTCACTATCTTCTCATAGAGGTACTTTTTGACTTTTAATCTTGCTAAAAGTCTAGCTTTTAATCTTGATGTTTCCTGGTAGCTTCCCACCCAAGGACTAACTAGCCTTGAACCAGTTCAGGGAAAGGATCTAGGAAAGGCCAGGCAGGTGCTGCCACCTGCTGAGGCATACATCCATATATATTTTGTTTAAAATACTTCTATCTATAATTTCTGCCTGGTAACAATTCTGCAAATGAAAACTATATATTCATCACACAGAATGATAAATGATGATGGATGCAGCAAGCAGAACAAACGTGTCAGTTATGATCTTTCTAAGAAGTGAAGGAGCCATGACAGAATACGCATTACATACCTATTCAAGAATGACAAACAACATATGCAGTTAAGACAGATCAGAACCCCGCCCACACACACAAATTTCAAAAGAAGAAAACCCAAGATAAAATCTATTTCCAGATTTAAGTTCTGATAAAACACATTAGGCAAATATACTAATACTTCTCTTATTTCTCCTCATAATGATAAGGCAAAGTTGCTTGCAGGTTTCCTCCCCCCCCACCCTTACATACATCTTCCTTAAAATTATTTTTTAAAACTGTCATCTATCTAACTAGTTCCTTTTTTTCAGCTCTGTGGTAAAAAAAATGGTTGAATATTACATGGTAAGAAGAAGACATAACAGATTCTCTCATTCTTTGTAGTAAATTTAGTTCAACATTTAGTTCAACATGGATTAGCAAGCACATGAGGGACCAAATATATTCTATGATTAGAGGTAGACCTCAACTTACGACCACAATTGAGACCAGAATGGTTATTGTTAAGCAAAACAATTGTTAAGTAGGTCATGAGAGATTTTATTATCCTTTTGCCATGGTTGTTAAGTGAATCAGTGCAATGGTTAAATGAATCTTGCAATCATTAAGAGAATCAGACTTGTCTCATTGGCTGCTTGTTGTGAGCCAGTTGGAAAGGTCATAAGTTGTAATCATATGACTCTGGGATGCTGAAGCCATCGTAAATACACACCAAGTGCAATTTTGATCATGCAACAGTGGGGGGTTGCAAGTTTGAGGTCTGATTGTAGTCATTCTTTTCAGTACCATTGGAACTTTGAATGGTTGCTCAATGAATGGTTGTAAATTAAGGTGTACATCTATTTTACTGGGGCATTTTCTTTACTGGTGTCTTCACCCCTATAAAAGACATTTTCATGAGCTACTAAAAAGCAGACGCTCTTTGCTTGAAGAAACCCAGTTACCTCTCGGTGGGAGCTGTCCATCAGCACCCCAAAAGTACCAAATTGGGAGCAATGGCAGCGGACATGAGTGGTGTTTCGGTGCACAAGTTCACAATCCCGTGCTGTCCAGAAACCAGTGGGCTCAATCCTGCAGTTATAAAGAAATCCATAAAAAGATACGGTTCAAAGGAAAGATTGTTAAGGTGTGTTTTTTTTAAGATACCTCACACTACAGATACTGTGATGAATGAGAGACAATGACCATATTTATGCCAGATGTGGTTTCCACTATCATAGATTAAGTTTCTCAACCTTAGTAACCTTAATTGGCTAGGGAATGCTGGGAGCTGAGTTGAGGCCTCTAGCAGCAGATGCCTGAATTTGATTACTTTCATTCTCAACAGAGTGGATTCCACAGGCGAGACCAAAGAGAACCAATAATTTTGCCACTATGCTATCTTAATGGCCTATAGTCCATAGGAGATGAAATTCCAGAACACACCTTAAAAAGACATAAGTCTTTCCAGAAGCCTGAAGATACAAGGATACATGGCTCCATTGAAGAGTGACTTGACCCACAGTCAACTTACTGGCTAGAGTGATTCCATTGAACGCAGAGGGGCTTGCTGCGGTTGGCTGTCTCAAGCAGGCGGAATTCTAGCATGAGTGGCTCCTCCAAATTGTTCTGCAGAAAAGTGTGGTTGCTGAACAGAGACACAGTCACAATGGGGGAGTTCATCACAGGGTTTTTGGGCAACCTGTATGGAACCAAGAAGCCTTGTTACTTGGCAACACCATCAAGGCTGGATTGTTTCAGACAGCAATACTGATATCCAGTGTCACAACAATCCAATTGTGATATTGTTGATTACAAACTAATTGCCTTTATCCATAAAACAAACCACAGGCATTTAAAATTGGTAGGAACATGCCAGGCTGCAAAAAACTCAGTAGAGAAGGAAGACTAATACCTGAGGTTGCGCCGATCCACCTGGTAGCGGGCAGGCAAAAGTCCACCAAGAGTGCGATAAATGATGAGAATGAGGATGGTGATAGCAGGCTCAGGTTCTTGGACAGAATGCCTTGGGGGAGGACTTTCCATTGTGACATTGGTCTCAGTATTAATTGATGCAGTTATTGTCATGGTGGGAACTGGAATCAAGACAGCAAAACAAGAAGGAATCAATAGCACAGTTGCCTTTGAAGAAAGACAAAGGCCAAGGAAGGAAAGACCTGAGACTGTCAGTGTGTTATTTCCCAAGAATCTTAAATCAACCTTGCCAATCTGCCCGCTTCTGATGTGCTGGACTGGGGAAGATGTTATTGAGTCTAAATATCTGGAAGGTAGTTCCAGATGGGATAAGTTAGATGTATATTCAGATCTCAGCTGTATCCTCGGAACATAATAGGCCACATTCAGTCATTCTGAAGTAAAATGACCCCCCCCCCCCCCAAAACTCTGGAAAGCCATCTTGTCAAATATATGCCGTAAGGCTGAGTAGGTGGTATTTCCCCATCAGGGACCAGCAGTTCAATTAGGACCTTCTCTAATGGCAGACAAAGCCTCTAGCTCCTGAGCTATTAATCACCTATGCAAGAAGTTAAGTCACAGCTCATTCTTAGTGTCCAAAAGAGACATGAAAACCCTCACCTTTTTGTTTTCTTTCCTCTATGACACCTCTCAAAGAACAGCAAAAAAAGGAAAAGAAAAAAAAAAGGAAAAGAGAGTTTCTAAAGCAATTTTTGGGAAGGATGTGGAAAAGGAGGCTACTTCTTTCAGTTGTTGTTTTTTGAACCAGGCCTGGGGGAGTTCAGAAAAAAAATTGCCACTTACCTTCTATTTTGCGGGGGGTAAGGACGGAGTGAGGGAGGACTATGTGTGTGTGGGGATCCCACATGGCTTGGCCACGGAAGAGGGTACTGTGATAACGTGGGTAGCGTCTTCTGAGATGGGTGTGATTCTCCATGCGATCAATGCTGAGCACTGTGAGGGGGAAAAAGAAAAAAAGAGGCCTCAGGCATTAGGTCTGAGAGACAATGCCATCTTCTGTCATCTGCACCTCTATAACCGTCTGGTTTGGTTCTGCAACCAAAACAACCAAACAAGAGAGACACAGACTTCAGAGGATAATTAGAATTACAGAAAAAACAATTGCTACCAATCTGCCTTTCATTGAGGACCTGTATACTGCACGAGTCAAAAAGAGGGCTGTGAAAATATCTACAGACCCCGCACATCCTGGACATAAATTGTTTCAACTTCTACCCTCAAAACGACGCTATAGGGCATTACACATCAGAACAACTAGACACAAGAATGGTTTTTTCCATGCCATCACTCTGCCAAACTACTAATTCCCACAATACTGTCAACTTATTTACTAAGACTGTATTACTATTCTTCTTCTCATCCTTCCTAGTACTACCTCCTCCCACTTATGATTATAACCATGTTGCTTGTAATTTTACAATTTATATTGTTTTATTTGTTTTCCTAGTATGTTTTGATTGCATATTAGTAACCTATGTATGATTTGATTGCTTATAATAACCTATGATTATCACTATGTGTTGTATTTTATGATTCTTGATTAATGTATTTTATTTTTTCTTATGTACACCAAGAGCATATGCACCAAAGACAAATTCCTTGTGTGTCCAATCACACTTGGCCAATACAGAATTCTATTCTATTCTATTCTATTCTATTCTATTCTATTCTATTCTATTCTATTCTATTCTATTCTATTCTATTCTATTCTATTCTATTCTATTCTATTCCATTCCATTCCATTCCATTCCATTCCATTCCACTCCACTCCATTCCATTTCATTCCAATTTAAACAGACGTTAACTGTATCTATGGCTGTGGGTAGAAATGGCTGGCCTCTTTCCTTTATGACGAACAGGTAGTCCTTTCCTTTATGAAGAACAGGTAGCTTACAGATGGCTTTGTTTAATGTTCAAAATTATGACAGTACAAAAGAATAGCTTTGCAACTAATTCTCACATGCAGTCACGATTTCCCTTCAGGCACTTTGCAACTGGTATGCATTTACAACCATTGCAGCATCCCATAGTCACTTGATCACCATTCGTGTGCTTTGCAACTGGCCTGCCACAATCAGAGTTAATAGAGTAGGCGGAAATAACATTTAAAGTGTGGGCACGCTTAACAAAGTGAGATCTTAAGCCTGTCACAGACATGTGTGATGTTTTGTTTATCAAATGCAGCACTTAACAGCAGAGTCACTGGTCTCAGTACTGGGCACTAAGTGAGGATTACTTATATATTTTATGCTCACAGGCTACTTTGCAAAGTGCTTTTTTAATCGTAGAGAGCCACACAAAGAGAAAATTCACTGCATTAGGATTGTTATACAAAATAACATACCTATAATGTTCATGGGAACACTGAACTGAATGCTGCAACTGAATGCTGAACTGAAGAGGAAGATGTTCATTTCAAAGCTTAGCTATTCAGTTCACAGCTCCAAAAATAGGAGAAAAATGTCATTAAAAATGTGCCTAGAAGAAGAACTTCCAAGAAGACTTGAAAAAATGCACACAAATATTTATATTTCAGAAATTTACATAAGCAGGTGTGTGTTGATGTTTTTAAAGGGATGAAACAGAAGTCCTGTAGTCAAATATGTATTTTGATAAAAATAGAAATGAAAGTATTTCCAGTCTGTCTAATCCTCTTTAGGCATTCGTCCAAGCATGTGGTGAGAGAGCAAGTACTCCAATAATCTGTATCTCCTTATGTTCAACCAGAAGTCTAATGGATAACAGTATTTGTATTGTTTGATCCTAAGAATAGCTTTCTGCTCAGACTGCAGTGGAGGTATTCGGAGTCATACAAATTGCAGATTTGTCCAAGGCCGGGAAGATTCAGGGACAAAGGGAAAACATTTTTGCATTAGATGTGAGAAAAGTGTGAGACTGTGTGATTGCTTAGGAACACTTTACATATGAGTAATAAAGTTACCCCCGTGAGGTATGAATATGTACATATTTATATTTAAAAATAACTCTGGAAGTGACTCTCACTTATTATTCTGTTATATCCACTTTGCAGGAGCTTGCCCAGAACACTAAGAAGAAATATGTTCTTGTGCAGCTTAAAAGGTATATGCAAGTCTGATCTCCACTGACTGAGTCTTTATATGCAATGACGGAAGTGTCTATAAGATTGGAAGCATTCATCAAAACCTTGCATCACTCTAATGCAATCTCTGCCCCTTCCTACATGCCTGCAATACCTCAGTGCCAACACAAAAGGAGTTTGCATTACAATGGTATAGTGCTGCATTTGTCATTTGGCTTCCTTCCCTTCCTCAGGATCCTGCCACGAATTCAGGAATGTATCATCCATCCGTTCTAAATGAGGGATGCACCCTGCCTTGCAGCTTCCAAAAACCAAGCATTCTTGTGGCTACAGTGCAAGTGCGGAGAGCAATTCCCTAAAGCAAAGGACAAGCAATGCCCTGTGGAATCTGTTTAATACAACATCGCTTTGCAACTGATCAGGCTGGCCGTCTCACGTGGATCAGCACAGCCTCAAATTGTAAGTTAGCGTCTCTGATCTCTGCCAGCTGACTGGAGCCATCACCGTTTTGCTGGTTATTGTACAGAAAGGGTGCCTGTCACTTTTCCTTTCCTACTTCTTTTCTGAACGTCCTTTTCAAGCCCGTCTTCCTCCTGAATGTCTAACGGTCCCTTCATCCCATGTGCTAGAAACAGATCGAGAAGCTTCTTCTTTCCCGTTCCATTCAAATAATAACCCTGTCTGCTCGCTTTTGATAAAAGTGCAAGACAGCAGAGAATTCTTAATAATGCTTTAAAAAGTCCTGTTGTATCCTAGTACTGAACCGTTCAGCAAATCCTTAGCTGCCTGGAAGCCAAGAGTTCCACGGTCACGGATTGCTAGAGAAGCACAGTCAGTTCATACTGACCTCAAGAAGGATGGGGTCCATGAGCTATTCTTCCGACGTTAGCACAGGGTGAAGATTTCCTCCCCTGACCTGGCTTCTACTTACCAATATTGGGGGTCACCACACCAACAGGATTGAGGTAGGTGAGCTTCATGTTGCTGGCCAAAGTGCCTGAGTAGTCCTTCAGCTGTTCCATCAGAGCTGCAGTTCCCTGATCATTTTGCAACAACGTGTCCCAGTGCTCCTGGTTTTCCAACGCCAGAACTGAACTGCCAGCCTGGAGGAGGTTCTAAAGAGAAGATCAACGTTTAGGTAGATTTCAATCAACATAACCACCCTCTCCACTGCCTTTAACCACACATAAAAACACAGGTGCAGTACAGACCAGAGTTTCTAACACTGGCAATGTTAAGATGTGTGAGCTTCAGAATTCCCCAACCATCCTTAAGAAATCCACACACCTTAAATACGGATATAGACTTTTGCCCTAGTCCCACAATGAGTCCCTGCTATGAAACGCTTCTAAATTTCGAACATTAATGGCATATATAGGCCAATAACACAAGGCATTCCATTGCTCTTGGATAGTACATAACTGAAATAAATTTAGTTTAACTCCTGGAACTTACATCTGGCTGAATATCATAAGAATGCGTGTACACATTTCTTTATTCAGTTAATTTGTAAAATGGGGTCTTTTTGGAAGAATAATAACTGGTGAGCGTTTTAAAATGAAGTTTTAATCATACTACTCTGAGATTTTATAAGAATCTAGATCAGGCAGGCTTGTTCTTTTCTATTAAATTATCTTTTACCTTCAGAAAACCATGGGTTTTTTGGGGGGGTGTCTGTAGCATTGCATCTCAGAGCTTTCTATTCATGTCACCAGAAACCCCTGGATACTTTCTTAAACTAAAAAAACCACCACTCTTAACAAGTTTTATGGCACAAACAAAAGCTTGTTGGCTTTCTAAACATTTTGTCCAAACAAAAGTGTTGCTCCCCAAAGACCCCTTTTGGTCTTAGTATGTAATCATTTTGTATGAAAAAGAACAAAAGTATATCAATTGGTTGACATAAGAGAAAGAAGAGGCTAATTGCTTAAAAAAAGACCCCACAGATAAGCAAACCAACAACTCACGCTATCAGGTTATAGTGTTCTTAAATAATCATTTCTAATTGCCTAGCCATCCTTCTCCACACTTATATATATTTATCCTGAGGCTTTGAAAATTATGGAAACCTAAAGCTACCAGATCTGGTCTGTAAAGAGCCAACTATCTACTGCTAGATGAAAGCAAATAAGTAATGAAAAATCAAACTATTCTTAAAATGATTTAAACTTGGGGCCAGGGTGCCTAGTCTAATCAACATTTTCTTGGGTTTCATTCCAAGTGAGGCATAGAATGAAGCTGCTAGATAAAGAGTGTGAAATGCCTATTCCAAGTTAATTTGTGGCACCTACAATGTGCTTGGGATGGGGCAATAAAAAATCCTTTCCCCCAGGTATTCTTAGCTTTAAAAATGTCTGTTCTTTTTAGATCTCCTATATAGATTTTGCTATTTGGATTTTTTTCTTTACACTGTTTGGATTTTAATTGCATTTTATACCTTTATATGATGACTTCTACTATATTGTAAACCACTCCAAAACTATAAAAACTATATTCAGCAGCAGAGAAATATTGTTTACAGGAGAAAAAGCAGGATGTTGGGGAATTGTAGGGCAGCATTTACTATAGCTAATGGCACTAGTTTAATATCATACAGCAGTGGTGTCAAACTCATGTCGTCACGTTGTCGTTACGTGATGTATTTCAACTTCCCCCCCTTCGCTAAAATGGGCGTGGGCGTGGCCAACACATGATGCATCCGACCCACATTTCTCAAGGATTCTTAAGGCATTAAAAATAACTGCTGATAGGACACTTTATTCTAAATTCCTAGAGGTCTTCCATCAGTTGTATATCCTGGGCTCACTTTACTAAAACTCTCATAAATATTCACACTGTTCTTCAAGGGAAAAGCCTACTTAATAGGATTCTGTGTCACTTTTACAATATCACAACTGAAAAGGGGTTCTTACCTCATTGAAGTGAGCATCCTGGGTAGCAGTCAGTCCAAAACCATGCTGTCTGCTCTCAAAGGCCATCAAGTGAGAAAGCAGGCGGTAGGTAATATGAATATCATTCCCAAAGTAAGACTCCATCTGTTCCGTCACTGCCCGTAGTTGATGGGCCAGCTTTTTTGCTTCTATGGTGTTCAGTTCTGTTTCGTTCTTCTCCAGGCTTTCCAGCTATCAGAAAAGAAGAGGGTATTCTCTCTTTACCCCTCAGAAGTGAATGTTTGTCTCCATCTCCTTCATTAAACAGGGGCATATTAAACAGAGATGAAGGAAACTTCTCAAGTTACTGATGGAAATCTGAAATCTGGATTCTGGACTCTGATATACATTGTTGGCAGAAAGTACCATGGGAATATCAGTTGGCTTCTGAGATGCTGGTCATCACTTTTCAAGCCTTCTATCATTCAGGGCCTGAATATTTTTGAGACCTCATTATCTGAGTTGAACTTCCCTGTCCAGTAAGATTTGGGAGAGGTAGCTTGATAATGGTTCCACTGTCAAGGAATCCAATCAACAAGGACTCTGCAGTTGAACCTTCTTGGTAATAGCCTTCTCTGTTGGAACCATCTAACTTTAGATAATGGGCCATGCCTTCCTACCACCTTTTTTTGAAAACTATATAAAAAATAATTCTTCAGAATGGAATTTAGGAAGAGTTCCAGCATCCCCATGGTCATATGATCAAAATTCAGGTGCTTGGCAACTGTGTCATATTTATGATGGTTGGAGTATCCAGGGGTGATGTGATCACCTTTTGCAACCTTCTGAAAAGCAAAGCCAGTGGGGAAGTCGGATTCACTTAACAACTGGGTTACCAACCTAGCAGCTTAACGGTGGTAAGAAAGGTCATAAAATAGGACAAAACTCACTTAGCAAATGTTTCACATAGCAAATGTTTCACACAGAAATTTTGAGCTCAATTGTGGTCGTAAGTTGAAGACTACCTTTGTTGCTGTTAAATGCATTTATTTTTGTTACCCCTGTCCTTCCTCTTACTAATACAGTAAGCGTTAATAAGCTGACAAATGATATGTATGTTGTTAATATAAATATTAGACTTTCAAGGGGTATCCACAGACAATCATTTCATTGTGGGAGCTAAATTCCCCCTTATTACTCAAATGCCCTCATCCAACATAAATATCTAACTAATTATACAAAAGAAATAGAAGATCCTCTCTGCAAGGAGACAGTTTTCCGCTTTCCTAATTTCAGATTAACTGCCTTTTGGGACTCAATTGAGTGGTGAATTTGTTTTCCCAAGAAGGCAGAGTTTATAGCCTCATTCATTTTAATCTCAAAGACAAGCTTTGTACTTTGAATGCTCTCTTTGTACTAACAACCACCGCTTGGACTGCTAATAGAAACAATTTGTCCAGTTTCCCCAACCCTGGTTTTACAGAAAGAATATTTACGATTCCTACCTAAATTGGGGTGTTTTTGTATTGAATTCTCAGTAGATCATCTCATATAACTATCACATTTCTGGAAAAGCACAGTACATGGGAAAACAGGTGAATGGAGAGAAGGAAGGAGAGAGGAGAAATGAGGAGAGACACAGAGAGAGAGACAGAGAGAGAGAGAGACAGAGAGAGATGTACCAATGTTGAGAGCTCCTTAAAAGCAGGGGAAGTGCAATTGAACAGATCCGGTTCCAGCCAGCCTCTCTCCTGGTCACAATATCGAACCGCTGCACCTGAGTCGAGACAAAATGTCAACTTAAAAGTGGAAACTTACAAATAGTGGTAATTGGAAACCACAGCTCTTTTCCTGTGGTTGCTGCCCAGGAAAGGAGCATCAGGGCTAAAACCCACAGCACTAGACCAACAGCGTGATTTTGTCAATGGCGTTTTGGCAATTTCACTAACCCTAAAGACCAACCAATGAAGGGAACAGATCCAGAGGAGGATCGACAGATGCTTCAGCAGCAGCTGTATGTTGTTCGCTATGATGGCAGCTTTGATTTCATTTCCACTAATTTAGGTTTTATGAGGCTCTCCCAAATGCTGGATTTAATTATTATCATGCTGGGAGAATTACTGAGAAATGAAATCATTCATCATGTTACCAATGTCTAAGATATGATATGGCACAATACCTTCTAAATATTTGGTGACAAAAATAATAATAAAAATAAATAAAGAACAAATATCACATTATGTGAACCTGCTATTTCCAATAATTTCTTTCAAAACTGCTAGAAGCTTTACTGAATACATCTATATAATCTTATATAATATAATTATATAATTATATTATATAATTATATTATGATTATTATATAATCTATATAATCTTGCTATTTTTTTCCTATCAGTCTCTGAATGCCACCTTTCTTTTTCCAATTTGTGTATGGTTGAGAATGAACTGGATCTTTCTAAAATTGGAGTTGCCAAAAGAAAACCTGTGTTCCCTACATTTACTGATGTCAAATGTTACTGAAATTCAAAAACACATTGTTCACTGAAAGCAAAAGTGAACATTTGTCAAATCTTTGACTGGAATGCTTTGCTAAAATAGTGTTAGCAATATTTCATTGGTAATGTAGCTCATTGTATGGGATAAATATGATGAACACTTTCTTGAATGAAACTTAATCTTTGTCTAAGAATGAGTAAATTGGTGGAGAAATTATGTAGCATATTCAAAAGGAACTATGCAAGAGAGTGCTAGAAATCTGTCTCTAGATGTACATAGCTGTGAGATTTAAAAAAAAACCAGGGAACTGTTTTCATTCATTCTAAACAAACTCACAACATTTTTTCCTATGTGTACTTGTATCCCCTACTATTGCTGTCATGGCATGTTGTACCAGGCAGCAAGATCTGAAGAGGATTATATTCACTTTAACATGAACAGAGTGCCTGCTGCAAGTACCAAACATCACTAGAGTTTTGGAGAAAATGACTCCAGATGCTAAAAACAATACTTTTAAAATTGATTTATAATATGACATACAAAGAGAACACAAAAGTAAATATTAGGGAAATTGGAGAAGGATAAAGGGAAGTGGATAATGCAAGGGAAAGCAAGGAAAAAAGAGAAAAAAGGAATTGACTTTGGTGCAGTAAAATAAGGCATTAACATCTACCCTCAACTTTTAACTTTTTCATAATAATAGAAACTAGCCTGGAAAATGACTCCATATTCTAGATTTGCCACCCAATGTAGCAAGTCCAATGATTGAACAGATAAGACAGGTGCACATGACATGTTAGCATCCATACTGTGAATGCAGCCTCACATTTCCATCCATAAGTATAAATGACTCAATAGAACTAGACAATTTGAAGCATAAGATGTTAAGCACAGAAAGGTTTAGCATGATTTTTCCCCCAGTTACTCTTGCCACATCACCATCCCTAGAAGTTGCTTTTTATGCAACAACAACAACATTACAACAGTGAAAATAGTGTAGGATATTTATGAAGAATTTAGCCAAACCAGCGCCTGCATTCTTTTTTTTGAAAGTACTTAAACATTCTACAAATTCAGTATTTATGAGTCTAAAACAAAGAAATGTGACAGTCCCAAATATTGTTTAAGAAATAGGACACAAGGATGCAGTTGTCCATATCTGTGACATAGGCCATGCAGCTTTCTAGAATATTTAAACACCACCAGGATCACAAAAATAGAAGATGCACCTCTTCTATATCTATCTATAACTATAAAATGTAGCACAGGTGCCTAAAGGGAGCACTGTGACATTCATAACGCTAAAATCAGTATCAGAAACAGCAACATTTTGTGCATGATCTGCACCATCTGCTAGAAGTGTGTTCGGCAATGATCTGAATGGGAAAGATATTTATATGAGAACAGTTGAATCCTTGTTAATTCCAAATGTGGCAGGTCACTTTGCTGCTTTACAAGTTGAAATGTGTATGTTCTGCTAGGGTCAAGCATGATGGATCCAGGGGTGGGATTCAAATTTTTTAACAACCGGTTCTGTGGGCGTGGCTTAGGTGGTGGACATGGCTTGGTGGTCATGTTATTGGCTGGGTGTGGCCAACTCAACATCACTCATATCGAGGCACGCATCTCCTCGCCTGGCCTCTCATGACTGGGGATGCTGCAACAGTCGTAAGTGTGAAAAATGGTCATAAGTCACTTTTTTCAGTGCCATTATGACTATGAATGGTCACTCCACACAAGCAAAGTACCAGCAAAAGAGGGGGGGGGGGGAAATTCCAGAGATGTTCCTGAGACAGGAAGTCTAGTCCTGCCAAGAATGTAATTAGGGTTAACGGAGAGGCAATTTCTGTAAGCAACACCAGAATGTTTCCTTCCTGCCTTCCTTACAGGATTAGGCCAGCAATTTCTTCTAACAACCGGTTCTCCGAACTGCTTAGAATGTTAACAACCGGTTCTAGCGAATAGGTGCGAGCTGGTAGAATCCCACCCCTGGATGGATCCAAACATATACTTAAAATGATAAATTTCTGCTCTCACATTTAAACTCTGTTCCAGCAGAGTATTCAAAAGACTATTCAACATTCAACAGACTATTCACAAACCAAATCAGGTGCATTGATTTATCGCCACTATTGCATTGATTTATCTTCAGGAGTCCTTAAATTTTTCATGTGGCAGCAAGTTAATTTTGAATGGTCAGGATCTTAAGTTCAGTCTTTAATACATCTTGTAAAAGGATCTCAGGCAGATAAACTCAGAAAGTTCTCTTTTCAAAGAAATAGGAAATATATTTCCCCACTGAGAGCTGAAAATTTTAACATGCAGCACCGAATGAAATAAGCCAATACTATAAGAACCAGATTTCTCCAGTCTGGTTTCTAAATTGATATGGAAGTCTCAAACGCTGATCATCCTCAGCTACCATGCTATTGGAAGAAAGTACTGGATTCCACATACTTGAAGAGACCATGGGATGCAGAAAGGCATCATCCATCAAAAAGCTAGCCTGATTATCTGAAGAAAATATCGTTATTACAATATAAAGGACATAATGGTGTCCAAAACTGAGTTTACAAGATAGCAGACAAACTTGTTCTTGCAGGGGGAGAAAATGTCAGTGTGCTCTTTCCTTCTCTGAAGTGACACCTATGGCAATTTTATTTGTGGTTTTGAAAGGTAAACCCTACAGCAGGGACTGGCAGCATGTATAATATTTTGATAGAACTCCTTTGATGAAGTGAAACAGCAATTTCTCTACTTTTCCTAACCAGTTGAAATCAAGACAGCCAACACTACAGGAAGCTGTTCACTTCCTCATGAAAGTCTTACTTAGTTTCTTCATCAAGTTTTCAACAACATTTGAGCGCCAAATGTCACTCTTCTTTTAAGCAGAGCCCATAAGCAAGCAGGGGAACCAAATGCATCTGTCACCAAGATATGACATCTGTCTGTTAGAACGCCAGACTTCCCCGCCAATTAAAATTTCTCTAAATCCATAAAAAGCATCAAGGTGCTACAAATAAGCGTGAGCGGGTTGCAGATGACTACAAGGGATTTTCTGCAGATTAGTGTTATGTGACAAGGTAAAGAAGCTGAAGGTCAGGCAGGATTACAAAGAAACCAGAGCCAGGCAAGGCAATCAAAACAGAGCCAGCAGCCCGTGGAGCATCTGAGGGAAATGTGGATCTGATGGTGCCTTAGGCAGGAGCAGGGAATGGAAAAGCCACACAGAGCAGTGCTGACAAAGCAGGAAGGGAAAAGGGGGAGAGCCACAGGCCTTACCTGTACCTCGCAAACCTGCACAAAAGAAAAATGTGGAGAAAAGGGACAACATTAAACGCTTTTAAGCAATATATTTGATGGAGAATGACCTTCCCTGGAATGGATTTCTATGTTTAGGAAATTCTGACTTCTCTGTAACATTTAGTGAGGTGAACCAACATGGGATTCCAGCTCCCAAACATTTCTTGATTTAAGCAAGCATTGAGTTAAATGAGGTGATTGTACTACCTATTCTGTTGGTAAACACTCTGAAGAGTGTGTGTTTGGGGAGCAGGGGGTGGAATATCATATCCTTGGGCCTAATAGACCAAGCTAATCTAAAGCAGTACCAGCACATCCAGATTTGGGAATGCATATAGTGTGTTGTCCAATCGTCCAATTAACTGCAGCCCAGGAGCCATGGTGGTGTGGTGGTTAGAATGCAGTATTGCAGGCTAACTCAGCTCACTGCCAGGAGTTCAATCCTGACCATCCTTCTGAGGTCAGTAAAATGAAGACCCAGATTGTTGGGGCAATATGAGGATTCTGTAAACCTGTTAGAGAGTGCTGTAAAGCACTATGAAACAGTATATAAATCTAACTGCTATTGCTATTCCCCCACATCATCGCTAAGAACAAAAGGAAGATAATCAGTAAGGGATCACTTCCTGGCACAAGAAGTAAAAAGATGTGAAAATTTGACCCATTTAGAGGTAAGGTGCCATCAGGTTGCCAATAACAACAGCAGGAATATAAAAAAGCTTAGAGGCCTCCCATGAATAAATCCTTTTACCACCAGTCTTCCTTGCTAACGGCAACCACGATAGGTGCAGTGGCTTTAATAGGGGGGTTTGATGGCTATTGCCGTCTCACTCTCAGCTCCTCAGAGCAAAGTTTTTTAGATGCTTCATTGCCCACAGTCTACCAGGGCCTGAAGGTTTCAGTAGCTTTAACTGGCTCCCTTTGTACTACTATCACCATCACCAGAAAGGTAAGAGAAGGAGGTAGTTATGGTAGAAGAACCTCTGCTCCTGAGAACTTATTAAACTATTAGTTAAATTTCATCCTTGTGAGATTTAGGATGAGTTCATAATCAACAATATGGTACCACTGACTATAGCAATCAATCAAATAAATTGTCAGGAAAACACCTTGGGTTTTACTTCACAAACTCCAAGGCCTTCAAACCTATATTAATAATATTAATCGCTGACAATCAGGCCAGTGCTGAAAGAAGAAGTTGTGTGGAGAGAAGAAAGACATGGAGTGACTTAGTGAAAAAGGTATGTGTACTGTAGTTCCTTGACAAAGCTGAAATATAATGGGATACAGCTCTTCTGTCCATAAACTTTATTACAATAGGAAAACACTTACCTTGTGAACCTTTTGGGCAAGGCAGTATAGCTGGCAGGCCAAACTTGGTTTGAGGCCACCATACCCCAGCTTTCAGAGACTTAGGACAAGCATCATAGAGTACTGTGGAATGAAACAGAGAAAGCAAATCAGTTGTGATCCATACAATCCGTACAAGGTCTCTCACAAGGCAGGGACCAGGAGAAATGTCTTATGTTGAAAAATGTATGGAGACCTTACGATTAAATCCAAATGTATTTGGGAAAGTTTTACAATAAATTGAAAAATGATTAGGATGCAAAAAAGCTGATGTGTTCTACTTTGGAACAATGTATAAAAGCATACATTTTGTATGTGTATATTTCTTGCAGCTAGAACACGTATAGTAAACGAACTGAAGGATGAAGAAACCTCTAAAACAAACGAGTTTTCCAAAAATAAGACTGTTGGGGAAATGGTTAAAAATAGTTATTTTAAAAGAGAGGCATATATTACAAAAAGACTGAATTTTCTGAAATTTGGCCTCAGGCAATGAATATACTGATTGGGCACAGTGTTCTTCTTCTTCTTCTTCTTTTTCTTCAGCGTTTGTCTCGCGCTCTGGCGAGGTCCGCTAATGTCCTTGAGTACTGCTTCCACGCCTCTCTGTCTGCCACGTATGTCGGGTCTGCCTTCGCGATCTCTAGATCAGCCTTGATCGTGTCCATCCAGCGTTGCTTAGGTCTACCACGCGGTCTCGCTCCTCCGACAATCACCTTCATCGCAGATTTGATGATGGATTCTTCCTTGGCGCGACTCACATGGCCGAACCATTGTAGCCGGGACTGCCTCATGACCGTGGGGATGGGCACGACGTTGAACCGTCTGCGCACTTCTTCATTCCTGACGCGATCGAGTAGGGTGAGGCCTACCGACCATTGGGCACAGTGTTCTGTGTTATCTTTATTGAAAATACATGCATGCTGTCTTTGTTTTAGAAAAGCCAGCCTTCTATTTGACATCATTCCCATTTTAGAAGTGTGGAACTTGTAGCTTCTAAATGTTGCTGAATTCCATCTCCAGCATCCCTTATCAGGGGTGGGATTCAAAAATCCCAGCAACTGGCTTGCTGCCCAGTTGCTGGGTGGACGTGGCCATGGTGGGCGTGGCCTACCAGAACTTCCGGGAGGGCTGTTTTTTGCCTTCCCAAAGGTCCAGAGGCTTCCCTTGGGCCTCTGGGAGAGCAAAAATGGCCTCCCCCAGGCTCTGGAGGCCCTCTGGAAGCTGGAAACAGGCTCATTTCTGGGCTTCCAGAAGGCCATTTCCCCCCCCCTCTCAGAACCTCCGCGTGGATCCTGCACTTATCTGCATCGAAAATGGATTGTGTGGAGAGTCTTGGGAGGGGCGGGGTGTGGTAGGCAGGGCCAGCCAGTAGGTTCAAATACCGGTTCGGTGAACCAGATGCAAATTTAACATCCGGTTCGCCCAAACCGGTCCGAACCAATAGAATCCCATCCCTGTCCCTTATCTTGAGTATGCTGGCTGAGACTAACTGGAGTTATAATTGAGCTACTTGTAGAGAGTTATCAGTTTCTAACCTTTGCCCCAGCTGAAGGGCAGACCAGTGCACATTTTATTAGTCTATTTACTAGTCTAATGAAGAGAAGGACTAGGAGGTGACACATTAGCAATCTTCCCATTTTGAGGAGCTGTTCTCATTGAGGAGTCGTGAACCTATTTTGCAAAGCATCTGAGGGCAAGACAAGAAGTAATGTATGTAATGGCTCAGCAAAGAGAGATCCAACCTAGAATTAAGGAGAAATTTCCTGGGAATGAGAACAAAATTAGTGGAAAGGTTTCCCTCCAGAAATTGTGGGTGCTCCATCATTGGAGTTTTGTAAGAGATTGGATAGTGATTTGTCTGAAATGGTATAGGGTTTCCTGTTTGAGCAGGGGGTTGGACTAGAAGACCTCCAAGGTCCCTTTCAATTCCGTTATTCTGTATTTTAAAGATTCTCAACGAATGGAGAATAGGAGGTCATTCACCAATACACACACACAGTACTTGCACATCTGAGCAAGTACCTTATTACATTCTTTCTCATTAAAATAAAATACATTGTTAGTTGGAGCAGTTGTGTCATATGTACAGCCATAAATGTATTTTCAAATTTTTATTTTTCAAATTCGAGGCCATCTGACTCTGCAACAATTCTGGGCATCTTATAATTCTTCTTTTGGTTAATGTGTTTCTTTTTTCCTGACAATGTGAAAATAGTCTTCATCTATATTAATTTATTGGGTTTGGTTCCAAAAAAATGAAATACTAAAGACAGTACATCAGATATTTTAGACATTGTATCTATTTATCTGTCTGTCTATCATCTATCTATCTATCTATCTATCTATCTATCTATCTATCATCTATCTATCATCTATCTATCTATC